ACCTGTATGTCTCTATGACATGAGCATACAAATACCTCTTTTAGTTCTTTTAGCTCAATCCCCAAAGTACAATTGCTGAATTATATGGTTGGTCCATCGTTTAATATTTTGGGGACCCTCCATACTGTTTTCTGCAGTGGCTGCCCCATTTTCCCTTGCACAAGGGCTGTTTCTCCATTCTCACCACCACTTGTTACGTTACAGGATTTTAACAGCAGCCATTCTAACAGGCGTGAAGTGGTACCTCACTAGTGGTTTTGAGCTGCATCTCTGATGATTAGTGATGCACAGAATCTTTGCATAATTCTGTGGCCTCCACCTCTCCAGAGGCTGCATTCAGGGGTTCAGTCCTTCTCAGAAGAGTTGTGTCTAGGGCTAATAACCAAGTTCATGGTGTGATGAGCTGTCTGACACTGAGGAGACCTGAGTCCCCTTTGTGTCTGCTTCAGAATAAATGCCAGAGCTTTGGGACCACTTTTTCTTGTGGGCCCAGAGGCTTTTCTTAAATTTTCCTTGCCACACTATTACTTGCTTATCCAGTTTGTCCAGCTTTGCTGGCACAGTACAAACATCACGGTCTCCAGGACAGTAGCTGGTGGCTCTGTAGGGGTTGCCTATTTCAGTGTGTCCAACAAGAGGCCCACACAGCAGTTATGGACCAGGGCAGAGACTGCATTCAAGGGGTTCAAGGGACACCCCTCAAACTCCAAGCCCCCCACACACACACTCCAAAAAAATACTACAACTAGTCAAACCCCTGCCCCTCCGCCAACCCACAAACCCTGGCAGTGGCCCAATGGCAGCTCAGGAATGTCAAGTGATGCCTCTCCCTTTCCAAGTGGCCCAAGAGGCCTTGGGTGCCCCGACTTAAGGATTTGGGGACAATGGAGTCCCAAGTTTTCCCAGTCCTGACTCCCTCAAAATCGCAAGCTGTCCTGGATTGAAGGCCAGAGAGGTAAAACAGTATATTGGTTGGCTCGGAGGCCCACAGAAAACCAACATGGGAAGTTGTTTGTCTGGACTGTTGGAAAACAAATTCACAGTCCAGACTTTACCAGAACATACAGCTTCTAGCAACAGGAGGGCCCAACCACATGGGCCCTCCTGGTGGACTGAAGTGGCCAGAGAGGGTGGCATGATCCAAGCCCTGTTCTTGATTTTTCTTCTGGGGAAATCTGTCACACTTTCATCCTCCTTATCTCTCTTGTTTTGACTAGAGCAGAGGTCTAACCTACCTCAACCCCTAGCCACCTCCCATGCCTGAGAATAGGCCAGGGCCCTCCAGGGAAGGAGCCCTGGATGGCCCCTGGGCTGGCCACATCTGATCATCAAGGAATGCTGAGGATGGGGCCAGGACTGCGCCTGTGGGTGACCAGGTTTAGTTGAAGAAGGTGGCTGCCTTCTTCATCACTGTGATCAGTGTGAACACATGGTGGCAGCAGTACCTGCTGTCCCCGGCATCCACTTACACCCCCTTCCCCCCACACACACAGGGTTCCAGGAGTTGGTGGAAGCCCTCTTAGAGAAGGGGTCAAGGACCCCATGTCTGTGGCAACATCACAGGTCTCTTTGGTTATCCTGGCTACCCAAGACTGGCACTTCTGGAACAAGGGAGGACCCAGAGGCCCCTCTGCCTGCCTTTCTTCAAGCCCTGGTCCACCCTTGAAACAAAAACTGTCCACCTTCAGTATGTTTAACTGTACAGGTTCAACAGCCACAGGTCAGAAATGGTCAGAAAAAAAATTTCAGAAAAATTCCAAAAAGCAAAACTGGGATTTGCCAACCATGCACCTGGCACTGTGAATCCATGTGAATGAAGTGACGCAGAGGCCCAACCTGCTGTAGCCTCCTGTCCATTCACAGGTGCTCAGTGTCCATCAGGTACTCACAGGAACATTCTTCACGTCGTATGCACTTAGGCCTATGATAGTTACATTTGTACCGAACACATACAGACTTTTTGCTTCTTAAACAATGAGGCAGAACAACTATGTCTTAGCATGGACATCATATTAAGTATAATAAATAATTTAGAGATGATTTAAAGTATACGGGAGGAGGTGTGAAGATTGGTATGTATATATCGTGCCATTTTATATAAAGAACTGAGCACCAGTGGATTTTGGTATCCAAATGGGGGCCCTAGAGTCAATCCCCCATAGATACTGAGAAAATGAATTAGCTACAATGATGTACTACAAATTGTTAGACCTAGAGAAATACACATAGGGTGCTCAAAATGTTTTCTCCCAACTAGAAGGTGAGCATCACCTGGGAACTTGCTAGAAATGGGCTTCTCTGCCCCCAACCAGACCCCCTGAATCACAGTGAGTGAGGTAGTGTTACAACCAGCCCTGCAGGGGGTTCTGATGGGAGCTCAGGTTTGACAACCTCTGCTCTGGAACATGACATTACTCCTGTTACACGGTGAACCCTTAACTTTTAGGACAGGGTACCTATCTCTAAGAGACAGGGCAAGGTACCTATCTCTAAGAAATAAATTCAAGTTTATTAAGTAAAAAATGGGACGGTTGGGGGAGGTGGAGAGGTGGGGGGGGTGCGAGGGGTGGAAGGCGGTAATAAGCAAGTCACCCAGAATACACTCGCACTTTCACCCCACGAATGGCAGCCCTCCAGGCTCCCGTGCACTCTGCTCCCCTTCCTTCTCAGTAGCCAAGCCAAGCATCCCCATCAGCCCTTCAACGTGACGGCGACCTCAGTCAGGAAGGCCACGGGGGCTCCCCCCAGCAGATGGCTCACAGCGGCCTCATCGCGCAGACGTTGGGGGCCCATTGTTTGAAGGCTGTTTACAGTCACCCTGTTTATAGTCCCCACGTCGGGGAGCTCGGGACTTAACGTCCCAGTCCGCGCGGTTGGAAGCCCTCTCATGCCCCTGGCCCATCATCCCCAGTCTTGCGCGCACAGACCTGGGCTCCCCTTGGGGTCCCGAGCCCGCGGCCGGGCGCCACGGACAGTCTCCCGTGTGTGTTGTGTCCCATCCCCCTCCTTGGCCGAGCGGGGAGTCCGAGGCGCTGGGGGCGGAACGGTGCCCCGGGGGGCAGGGCCGGGCGTGGTGGCCTGGCCCTGCGGGTGGGGCGAGCCGGCCGCGACACCGCCCTCTCCGGCCAGCCAATGGAGGCCGAGGCTCCGCGCCGGGATTGGAGCCGGCGTGGGGCTGGCCAGCGCTGTCAGCGCGGTTATAAGGGAGGGAAAAGTTCCCTGCGCGGAAAGCCGGGCAGGCGCACGCTCGTACGGCGGCCGCAGCGGCAGGGCGGGGCCGACGGGAGCGGGTGGCGGCGGAGGAAGGACCCCCGAGCGCGACCTCGCCTCTCTCGGTGTCTCGCTCCGCCCTCATCATCGTCCCGGGGCCCCAAGGACTTTTGCGCGCAGCCATGGGCGGCGTCGGGGAGCCCGGCGGGGGGTCGGGGCCTCGGGAGGGGCCCGCGCAGCCAGGGGCGCCTCTGCCCACCTTCCGCTGGGAGCAAATCCGCCGGCACGACCTGCCGGGCGACAAGTGGCTGGTCATTGAGCGCCGCGTCTACGACATCAGCCGCTGGGCGCAGAGGCACCCCGGGGGCAGCCGCCTCATCGGCCACCACGGCGCTGAGGACGCCACGGTAAGATAGCCCACCGCCGGCGGGGTGGAGCCTAACGCTTGCTTCGGGGGCCTGGGTGCTGTGTAGCCTTCCACCTGCCGGGCCTTAGCATCCTTTCTACCCTCCCTGACCTTTGACCCCCAGGCCCTAGACGGAGAGTTGGGATAGAGCCAGGGTCCTGATGTAGAGTAAGGAGGTCATTTCTTTGCGTGGAGGACTCGCTCACTGGGGGGAGGACTCGCTTCCGAGCGAGGAAGAGACCCTCAGAGGTGGGTGTGCCATGGTGGGCAGCTTGCTGTCGGTGAGGTCCTTCCTGTTGCTATGAGGTTCCTTTCTCCGTTCTGGGACCTTCAGAGCAGGGCAGCCGTGCCCTGTGCTTGTTGGGTGCTAGCGGCAGGCGGGGATGGGCCATTAGGTGCTGGGCCTGGGCAGCAGAGTTTGGGCAGGGCCTAGAGGTCTGTGGCTTTCCCGGATCTACTGTAAACTGTTCAGAGGGCCAGTGACTCACCTCTGCTGGGCTGGCAGCTACACGTGGGAAGATTTTGCCAGCCAGGCTGAGTGGGCCTCCTCCAGAAGCACAGTCACCCCAGGAACGTGCTGGCCCCTGGGGACCCTGGCTTCCCATTCCCAGCCCATGTCTAGACAAGGAGGGATGGTGGCCCTCAGGACTGGCTGGCTGCAGCCCACTAGTGGAGCAGCCTATAGGGAGCAGATTTACCAGCCTCTTTCCCTGGACCTCAGGCCCCCACCTGGACAATAGGGTGCTCTGCCCTTGACCGGTCAAGAAGGTCTTCAAGACCCAGGGGAATGAATCCTTCATGGTGAAACTTTCTGCCCTGTCCCAGGACTATCAGCCTCCTTCTCTTCCCCCACCCATCCCAGCAAACTGAGGGATTAGAGAGAAGGCTCTGAACTCAGCATCCTGTGGATCAGGGAGCGTGTGGGCACCGGCAGGCCTGTGAATGTGCCTGAATGCATTTGTGAGTGTGTCTGTGTGTGTTTGTGTTTCTCCCAGGGCATGGTGAACTTGAGGTGCTCTAAACTCTGGCTGCCCTTCGAGGGTCTTAGGATTGCCCACTCCAGCATAGAACAGGATGGAGGGCAGGCAAAGAGGACTATAGGGAATATTTATTAATTGCTTTTTCCTGGTTAGGAGCAGGCCTGTGCCTGGGGCCCTCCCACATAGGAGTCTCAATTTTATATTTTTCTTGAGACCCAGAGACCTCCATTTGACAATTTTGTAATTGATTCATGACCAGTAAGCCTGGTTTAAAAAAAATGTGTGTGTGTGTATATATATATATATATATATATGTATGTATGTATGCATGCATATATCTGCTTCCTGGGGCCTGGGCCTGGCTCTCCCATTGGAGGCTCTGAATGGCCAGAGATGTCATTCCTCTGAGCCGTTTCCTTTGTCAAGTAGGGAGAGCTGGACTAAATGGCAAGCCACTAAGGGCAGGACCATGCCTACTCCACTCTGTGACCCAGGGTATGCCATGTTGTAGATTTCATGTTCAGTAAATGTTGATAGCTTCTCAGTGTGAGTGTGCCCTGCAGACTGTAGTGTGTCGTGGGACAGCCATGCCACAGCTAGACCTTTGCTGGGTGACCATGTCTGGCTCCAACCCTGTCTGTAATAGGAAGGGGTTGCTGTAGGCTGTTGCTTAGCAGCTTCAGGGCATCAGACGCTGGGCTGAAGTCGCCAGAAACACTGGCCTGCTCAAGCCATAACTGTGGGAGGTGGCTGGGTGTAGAGAACCCCAGATTTTGTTCATGATGGGCCCATAGGGCTTCTTAGGGGTTGGGCCAGCCCAGTGCCACCTAGCCCAAATGTCAGGCACCCCATCCCATGCCCTGGAACTCAGGTTGGGAAGCAACCCTCTCTTGCCAGCTTGGTCATCCATCAGCTGTTCTCATGTCCAGGCACAGAAGCTTTCCTGCCAGGAAATTCCCAGAGTTCCTATGCTGTGAAGTCAGTCTGTGGCCATCTTGGGATACCCTAGGGAGAGTATTCTGGGCCCTAAGCCAGGTTTGTTTAAGATTCATAGGCACCCTGAGACAAGCAGAGCCAACCAGAGAAGGGCAAGGTCCAGCTGCTGTTAGTCATAAGTATACAAGGGCCACTCATGTGGCCCTACTATACGCCTGACTCTAAATTCAATCTTTGTTATTGGTACTCACTCAATCCTCAAGACAACCCTGTGAGGCAGGTACTGTTACTGCTATTCCCGCTGTACAGATGAGAAAACTAAAGCTCAGAGAGATGAATTACTTGAAATTAAGTGGCAGGTCTGGAATTTGAACACCCAGCCACACTCTTAACCACATGCTACCCTGCCACTTAGCTGTATTATTTCAGTCATTCATTTGTTCTTCAGTGATTGGATCCCTAAATCTATGAATGAGCATCTCCTGTGTGCCTCACTCTGAAGATGCATCTGCAGGGAAGGAGTTCCCAGCAGAGGGACGAGGTAGAGCAAAGCCTCAGAGGTGGGACCTTACCTCCTCTGTCTAAAGAATACAGCAAGACTGTCATGAAAAGCAGTTTGGGGGTAGATGAGGTCTAGAGGCATCTGTGCTGGGCTCCTACTGGACATGTTGTCCCTTGGAGGGCCTTTGTTTTATTCTAAACAGGAGGGAGAACCACAGAGGACACAGTAGGGAAAGCCTGAGGGTCTGATTTATGTTTAAAAGGATCCCTAGTGGAGAGAACAAAGGCAGAGCCTCCTAGAAGAGCAGCAGCTAAGAGAAGGGATGGTGGGGACCTGCCCTTCACTTGGTGAGGCCACTCAGAAGACGTGACCACCCATCTGAGCCCCAAAGTATGAACATGGCCAGGAAAGAGGGTAAGAAATGCTGTGGGTACAGAGGGACACCAGTGGGAACCACTAGGATTGGCTCTGTATTATCTTTAGAGAGGGACTGGACCTGTCCCCATGCTATGACTCTTCTCTCTGGCCATCAGTTTCCCCATTAGTGCAATGGGGATAGTGACTGGTGGAGTGGTTCAAGTGGTAAGAGCACCTGCCTAGCAAGCGTGAGGCCCTGAGATCAAACCCCAGTACCACCAAAAAAAAAAAAGAAGAAAATTCTTTCATCTTGGGTGTACTGTAGAGATGGTGCTGGGCACTCTGGTGACTTGTTACCATGAACAACAAAGCCCTGTAACCATGGCGGTGGTGAATTCACTGCCCATAGCTCTACAAGGGTGAAGGGTTTCCCAACACCCTTTGGTGCCTTTTGGGCTGGAAGGACTAAAAGTTGTGGGAAGACCCAATATCCATCAGACCTTCTGAGCCACCTGCCCCAGTATCCTCTTGACCTGGGATGGAGGTGGGGGTGGCCAGTGTCACCATTAGAGGCTGTGTCACAGTAATTTCAGCCAACAGTTATTGACTAGGCACTCGTCTGTTAATTCTCCTAACAACCTTGTGAAATGAGTATTCTTATTAGCCTACTTTACAGATGAAGAGACTGAGGCCAAAAATGAGCAATGTGACCTACCTGTAAGGGCAGGGCCTTCATCCTTGGGCTTGGAAGGTGAAGTTTATGTTTGAATGGGAGCTGGGAAGGAACAGGACTAGGGTCTGGCAGATTCAAGACTGAGTTAGGGCAGATTGGCTCCAACCATCTGGATCTAGTGCTCACAACCTACTCCCACCCACCACACTGGCTACCTTATGCGATGTGACTACTCCGGCCCCCAGCAGGCTTTTTTTTTTTTTTTGGAGTACCCCCACCCACCCAGGTCCCTTCCATAGTAGGCTGCAGTGCCCACTCCTTCCCTCGCGGGGAGGAGCTGGGATTGTCTAGCACTGGCAGGAATGCAGTGTGCATAGGTGGGAGGGCTGGTGACTTCAGAGTATCAGGTAGGCCTCTGAATTCTTTCCCGAGGGTGCCCAAGCTGCCGTGGGTTTCTGATAAAACATCCAGACTCTGGTGGTGGAGCCAGAGTCTAGTGGTAGAAGGAGAACTTCTTGCCAAAGGGCCTTGCTGCTTTGGAGGCAGCACTGGGACAGGAACACCTGTGAGGACAAGGGTCCTGACTAGGAGAGGACTTAACATGTGTTGCCCACCCTTCTTCAGGACACCAGGATGCTGGGAGGTAGGGGCAGCTTTCTGGAGGCAGCTGTCCTTGAGCTGGGCTCTGCTACACAGGCTGCAGTTGGATGCGCCATGTTCAAAGCTGTCTTTGTTTCCGTATCTTGTGCCTCAGTTTCCCCATCTGTAAAAGGGAAGGGATACTGAGAGTGCTTCTCCACTGAAGGAGTTGCTGGGGAGAGGATGGAAAGGAGCATTTGAGTATAGGGCCTGGGTTCTTGCTTATCTCTACTTGGGAGAGCAAGAAAGGCAGGGATTTCTTTGGGTCTACTTAGAGACCCCACATCTACCCCAGTCTCCAGCAAAGGCATAAGGAGGTAGCATGGACGACCCCAGACCACCCAAGCCCCAGAGGCTCTGCCCTCTCCCTGTTCCAGACTCTTCCTGTCTGACCTGGAACATTCTCCATTCTTTGGCCCGTGACCAAAACTCCCTTCTTCCCCTGCCATGTTTGGGGAGGAAGAAGACTGCTTACCCTGTCTGTTCCTTACCCTGTTTTTTGACAGACAGAGACATGTATACACTCTCCTACCTATACGTGCAGCCCACCTCAGAGACACTGATCTCCAGGGGGGCTGCAGGATGAGGACTCAGATGAGCTTCTGCTGGCTACCAGGCCTCTTTTAAGTGCTCTACCTATGCAGATTCAGTCTTCCTAGCAGCCTGAGATGGGCATTAATGCTTCCCATTTTACTGATGAGAAAATGTGAAGTCTTTTTATGGGGCTCCTTGGCTCCTAAGTGGCGGCTCAGGTTCCATGCTGGGCAGACAGCTGACTCCAGAGTATTCCCCGCACCCCAGCCAGCTGCTACACGGAGTTCATGGCAGAGCTGAAGGCAGGGCAGGAGCTCTGACGGCCAGGCCCACCACCCCAAGGTTTCCAGAGAACGAGGAAGAGCTGGACTGTAGCTGTGTCCCTAAGGAGCGTGGACATCACAAAGAACAGACTTGAGTGCGAATCCCAGATCTGTCGCTACAAACTCTGTGACCTGAGCAGATGTCCTCACCAGTAAAACAGCATATACTCCTGCCACAGGTGCTGTGGAGGGCTGGCTCTTGTCCACTTCGTCACACCTGCTGTTTTTTGTTTGTTTTGGCAGTATTGGGGTTTGAACTCAGGGCTTCATGCTTGCTAGGCAGATGCTGTACCCACTTGAGCCACTCCGCCAGCCTCACATCTGCTTTTGAGTGCCTGCCCTGAGCCAGGCACACTGTTGTGAACAGAACCTGCGATGACCAACCTCTTAAGTTTGGGATGCCCTTTATATTTCAGTAGTTTCTCTTAACTCTGCTCTAAGCCCCAGTAAGAAATACCGAATTTCATTTTTGACTCTTCTAGGTAGGATGAGGGTCACAGGGATTGGCACATGTACACCTGGGAGGATGTTTTCAGATGCATAGTGGGAGGGGTGCTGCAGTACCCAAGAGTCAGTCAGTGCCGCGCAAGAACCACTCTCCTATCCCCCACAGCCCAGGCTTCTAGTAGCTGGGTCCTTGGCTGCTTGAGATGACGACTGACCTCATCCCATCCCACCTAAGAGAACCTTTGCCTCCTCTCCAGCCCAGAAATGGCCACCCTGAGCAAATGCTGAATGGCCACAAGCAGTTTCACAGTCAGGTCCAGGTCCAGAGCCAAATGGAGCTGTGTTATATTATCTTGAGTAATAACTTAATCTTTCTGAGTCTTCACTTCTGCCTGGCCTCTGGGTCCTTGAGTAGAGGCCATGACCCCAGCCAGTGTTCCAGAAAAAGCTGTTTGCTGGTACACCCAGCCTCAGTCTAAGTCCAGGGATGTACCTTGCTGGTGCTTCCTGACTGCTTGAGAACATAGGCTCCATGGTGCCCACCTAGCCCGGAGCTCAGCCTGAGAGTCTGCTGCTGGAGCCCTGACCACATGCTCTGGAATTTCCTGACCAACCCTGCAGGGGAGGGTCACACCTCCCCTTATCACTCTAAGGAATAAACCCTACTGGGAGACCCTTGGGTGGAGTCTGGCTCTGTGCCCACCTCAGTGCCTCCCACAGGGCTAGCCTAAGGGAATCAGGATGTAGGAAAAGGAGGTGTGAAGGCTGCCTACTCCCCCAATACCTCAGCCTCCCTGCTCAAGGGAGTGGTCCCAGAACAGATACAAGGGAAGAGGGAGGGAAGGGCTCAGAGGTAACCTGGGACCATAGTGTCCACCTATGTGTGTGCCTCGTACACAAGGCTGTTATCTCTCTAGTGTTTATGTAGGCTGTTGCTGTGGACATGTTTCTGAGTCTGGATCTTGCTTGCTGAAGCTGTTTGTGTGTGTGTGTCTGCCTGCAAATGAGTGTACATGTATGTGAGTGTATATGTTTGTGCAAGTGTGTAAGGTACTGCCTTTCCATACCTCTGTGTGCATCTTGGCTCTGTGCAGCAGGGGACTTTCAGATCACTATCAATGCACACTCAGACTTAAAGAAAATCCTGTCACATGCTACAACACAGATGTACTTTGACCACATTTGTCGCAAAAGGACAAATATTGTATGACTCCACTTAAATGAGATTCCTGGAATGGTCAGATTCATAAGGACAGAAAGTAGAGTGCTGAGTGCCAGGGGCTAGCGGGGAGAGGGAATGGGAAGTTAGTATTTAAGGGGTGTAGTGTTTCATCTGGGGAAGATGAGAAAGTTCTGGAAGTAGATGGTGGTGATGGTTGCATATCAGTGTGAATATACTTAATGCCACTGGATAGTACAGCTAAAAATAGTTAACTTATATATTTTACATAATAAAAAATTAAGCCTAGCACTGGTGGCTCATTCCTGTAATCCTAGATACTTGGGAAGCTGAGATCAGGAGGATTACAGTTAAAGGCCAGCCCAGGCACATAGTTTGCAAGACCCCCATCTCCAAAATAACCAGAGCAAAATGAACTGGAGGCATGGCTCAAGAGGTAGAGAGCCTGCTTTGCCAAGTGCAAAGCCCTGAGTTCAAACACCAGTCCCACCAAAAAAAAAAAAAAAATAATAATAATAATAATTAAGTTAATTCTCAGTAGTCCAGAGCTAGAAAGACCCTGAAGTCTCACCACCTTGGTTTGCCCAGGAAATGGAGGTCCTAAAGAGAATGGACTAGTTCAAGGTCACAGACGAGTGGCAGAGCCCCACGAGCAGTCTTCCCACCTGGTTCCCCTGCCCTGCCCTGCCCAGGCAGCTTCCTGTGGGCTCCAGCCTCCCCTCACCCTCTTCTCTCCATTTTGCTGCCCCTCCTTCAAGGTTCATCTGCAGACCAGATGAGGGCTGGACTTTTGCAGCCCCTCCCCTAAATGAGGCACAGGGAGCCAAATCAGTCTGAGTTATTATAGGAGGCGTACCCTCCCCGCCCCCATACCTGGGCCAGTAGACAGGCATTAGGAAGGGGACCCCTAGGGCAGGTCCTGCATGTGTGACCTCTAAATGGGGACTGGAGGAGTTCCAATGCTTCCTTCCCCCAGGACGGTGCAAGAGTGTCCTGGCAGTGCCTACAAGGCCTGCTGGCCCTTGCAGTTTTATCTTTAATAGACACTTAATAAACATAAACGTTTATGGGATCAGTGTGATGTTTTAACATATGTGTATAGGGGAATTAATCAGGACACTGATTATACTGTAGCACAGTGGGTGACTAGTCAACACTGTCACTTCTGATTCAACCTACACAAGCTGGTAGGTTTCTTAGGAGGAGAACAATAGGAGGCCCCTTGTCCTTCACCAGCCTTCTTCAGAGGTGTTTCCCGTAGCATCTTGGAAGCCCCTCAGTGATCTTTCCTAGACCCATGGAGACAACACCACCCAGTCACTGTTTTTGTAGTCCGTCTGTGGCTGTCCATTCAGAGGGAGGTCAGTTGAAGACTGTGAACAATTAATGGAGCAAATATAATACCAGCGATGCACCAAGAACAATATCAAAACCATAGAGAAACCAGGAAGGCTAAGTGAGCCCAGTCATAAAGCTCAGGTGTACCCACTTATCAGCACTGCACTTCCTGACTAGTCTCTGTTCCTGCTCCTTATCTTTCTTTACATCTCGTTTCCTGCAACACCCCAGGGGGACTTAGCCTTGAACTCAGGACATTGCACTTGCTAGGCAGGCTTTCTACTGCTTAAGCCACCCCACAAGTCCTCCTCTTTCTTTCCTTTTATCTTCCTTCTCCTGCACTGCACCTTATCCCCCCTTCCCAGCTATTACAGAGAATCACAGGAAGGTTAGTCTTTTCTCTGTACTTAAAAAAATTATACTTTTTGCTCCTACTTTTTAGATAAGATGAGTTTAGCCATTCAAGTCCTTGCACACCTCCAAGAGCTCAATGTGTACAGCCCTCCACTGATTTTCCCCACCCCCTTATTGTGGCTCAGTGCTTCTCAATTACAAGTCTCCCCAGTCACACTTTGCCTGCTGCTGTGTTTATAAAAACTAGATAAATCAAACATTTGTGAGCCAAATCTTATTTATTTTTGGTGGGACTGGAGTTTGAACTCATGTCTTTGTGCTCACAAAGCAGGCACTCTACTGCTTGAGCCACACCTCCAGTCCATTTTGTTCCAGTTATTTTGGAGATGGGGAAGGGGTCTCACAAACTATTTACCTAGGCTAAATATTTAACTAAGAATCTATTTAACCACAATTCTCCCAATCTCAGCCTCTCAAGTAGCTAGGATTACAGGCGTGAACCAGCAGCAGCCAGCTCAAATCTTACTTTATATGCAGTAGAAAAGGGTGTGACTTCCAGAAAGCTTGTAGAAGAGCTAAACCCTCTCATGTAAGGCATCAGTCTTCCAAGGTTTTTAGACACTCAGGGATGTTTGGAGAAGGACTCCTGTGCTGGGCAAAACAAGTGAGGGGGTGCTGGTCTGGGGAGAACCCTTCCAGGTTCACGGACAAGGCTGACCCCTTAGTCCTATTTCTATGACTGCTGAACAACCAGCTGACTTTTGCCCACCTGTTCATCAACAGCCAGCTGCCTCTGGTACTTCTCCAGATGTCTGTCTGTCTGTCTATCTGACTGTCTGCTCTTCTTCAGGATGCCTTCCACGCCTTCCACCAGGATCTCCATTTTGTGCGCAAGTTCCTGCGGCCGCTGCTGATAGGAGAACTGGCCCCAGAGGAGCCCAGCCAGGATGGAGCTCAGAATGTGAGGGGGTCAGAATGCTGGAGGGCCTGGGGAGTGGTATTGCCATTGCCCTTGGGGAAGCAGAGCCAAGGCTGGATCTGCTGTCCCCAGTTGTAGCAATGCCCTGCTTGGCCAGGAACTTGCTATGGGTCCCTGGTGAGCCTTTTCCCTGGTCTGGATCCAGTGACCCTATCTGCAGTGAGGATGTCGATGAGTTGAGCTCTAAGGGTTTCCTTTCCTAGCTCTGGCTCTCTCTGCTTCTCACTCACCCCATACCTTTTAGGTATGGGAGGGGACTTGGCCACCAAGTAGTTCCCCTGCTCACACCCTAGCTGGCTGCTCTTTTCCCTCCATCCATCCCTTCTTGTCCATACCTCTTGGGCCTGGCACTGGGCACTGGGAAGAGTGGCTGGGGCTGGCTTCTGGGGGCAATGGGAGGCCTTACTTCCTCAGCTGACTGGTCACTCTCCTGTGGCAGACCCAGCTGATCGAGGACTTCCGAGCACTGCGCCAGACAGCCAAGGACATGAAGCTGTTTGAGGCTGATCCCATCTTCTTTGCTCTCCTGCTGGGCCACATCCTGGCTATGGAAGTGCTGGGCTGGCTCATCGTCTACCTCCTGGGCCCTGGCTGGGTGTCCAGCACTCTTGCTGCCCTCATTCTGGCCATCTCTCAGGTAACCCTGGGACTACCCAACAAGCAAAGGGCCAGTGCATGTGGGCACTCAGGACACACTTGCTACATGAATGAGTGAACAAGTAAACGAGCAGCCAGAGGGCTTCTAAAGTGGACCTGTGGGTCATGCTGTGTTCCGAATTAGCTCAGAAAGTTCCTTAGTTGATAACTTGGGTCAGGCGCAGCACAAGGAGCTGGAAGGTCATAGCCCCATTCAAAAGGGCCACAGACAGTACCCTATAACAAAAGACAGGTTAACCAGAGAAAATCCGTTTGTAGTTTTTACAGGACACAGGTGCTTTCAGACTGAAGACTCAAAGACTCAGTTGGGGTGAACTGTCCATTTTTATACTTTCACTTTGATGAGGCAGGGACAGCCATGTAGAGATGTGATTAGACAGTAGAAACAGATTAGGCAGAGAAACCCAGGAAGGCCTGTTTGTTCAGAGCCTTTCTCACCTCTGTATAGCAGTCCTTCCTCCTAGGTACAGAACAGAGAACCCTTTCTGATCGGATGGTCTTATGACCCACTATCAGATAAGATAGGTCAATTTGTGGCCAATTCTAAGACAAAAAAGAAAAATCAAAATAATATTTTTGGGCTTTATGGTTTTGGCCTTGGGGAAGAGGGGCTCTGATTTCTATGACCAGCCCTGGGGAAGAGAATTCTAGTTTCTGTCACTTGCCTTGGGGGAGAAAGTGAAGCAGGAGACAGGAGGCCTAGAGGAGATCAGAGAGGAACTGGCATCTTATGCCCTTGCCTTGAGGTATGGTTTTCTGAGGCCTGACACTTGAAATTCCGGTCACCCTCCAGCTCAGTTTGCCCTAATCTGTAAAACAGTGTACTTGCAGCAGGGACTTGAAGTAGAACATTAGCAGTGGGCATACCCTGGGAGCTAGAAGGGGCCTGGACAACAGGCACCCTTCTCCATCCTTTCTGCGGCTCCCTCTGCCAACTCCTGACCCGCCCCTCTCCCTAGGCTCAGAGCTGGTGTCTGCAGCATGACCTGGGCCATGCCTCCATCTTCAGGAAGTCCCGGTGGAACCATGTAGCCCAGCAGTTTGTGATGGGGCAGCTGAAGGTGAGGGCAGGAGTGGGTGGGTGGGCAGCTAGGTGCTGCTGGGGTGCTGAGCTGGGTCTGCCTGAGTGTGTGGGCACAGTCAGGCCCTACCCCCAAGTGCCCTTCTCCCCACAGGGCTTCTCTGCCCACTGGTGGAACTTCCGCCACTTCCAGCACCATGCCAAACCCAACATCTTCCACAAGGACCCGGATGTGACAGTGGCACCTGTCTTCCTCCTGGGGGAGTCATCTGTGGAGGTAAGTGGAGAGAGCAGGGACACACTTAAGCCAGGCCAACAGCTGAGGGGACCTGTCAGCAACTAAGTCCCCCACACTGGCCCTGGGTTTAGCCCCTACTCTAGCTCCAGATCCAGCCAGGCCCCAGTGGACTCTCAGCTGGGGACAAGTTGCTAGAATCTAGAGTTGCCTTTGACCTTGGCATCAGTCAGTCCCTGACCTTGGCCTGGTGAGCTGCTTTCCCCATCTGCCACCTGTCTCCACAGTATGGCAAGAAGAAACGCAGATACCTACCCTACAACCACCAGCACCTGTACTTTTTCCTGAGTGAGTATTTACTTGTCCTTCTGGGGTTGGGACATACTGGGGTCACACCAGAGCCTGTGCCGTCCTCCCCAGTGTCCTGTGGGCTCTCAGCCACCTCCAGGCTATAGCTCTCCTTACCCTTCCAGCACCATGGCTTTGCCCCCACCTGTCACAGCCCTGCCTGAAGCTTTCCCAGGCCCCAGTCCCAATTTCTTCTGCCCTCTCCTTAGGGTTGCCTGAAGCCCTAGAATATTTAGGCAATTGCTGCAAACAGGAATGGGGGAATTCAAGGGCAGGAATGAGTGAGACTGTCCCTGACCTCCAGCAGAAGGAACAAGGGAGATGGAAGACAGTAGGGGAAGGACCAGTTGCCAAGGGACTAAGCATGGATCAGGCCTTGTGGGTAATGCAGGGTCATCCCAGTGCATAGAGCCAACACTGTCGTTCCATGGGCATTCCTAGAGAAAGAGAAGCGGCTCTCCCTCTACTCCCCCACTCCATTTCCACATCCCAGCCTTGCTCTTAGGCTCTCTTGTGCCCACTTCTTGCAGTTGGCCCACCACTTCTCACCCTGGTGAACTTTGAAGTGGAAAATCTGGCATACATGCTGGTGTGCATGCGGTGGACGGTGAGTGGGAGCTACTTAGGACCTCTGGCATGTAACTGTGGGTGTATCTGTCCATCCACAGATGTAAGTGGGTTCACATGTGCATGCCACGGTGTGTTTTCTGTGTGTGTGCGGGGGCAGAGCAAGTGTGCACATGACTACATGTGTGCACAGGGGGTATGGTGTTGGTCTCTCTCTGAAGGAAGAATCACTAGATCACTGTGCCCAGTGTCTGTGTCCCAGGCAAGGGCTACCCTGGCACACCCTCCATGATCACCTGTGAGCTGACAGGGCAGGGACCCTGTTCTTTTACCTAGCCAAGAAAACAGAAACCCAGGGAGGGTTTATGACCTGTCCAGGGCTCTGAGGCAAATGGAGCAGAAGGCTAAGTGACCTCAGCTCCTCTTTCCACCTCCCAGGCCCTTGGACACCTGGCCACCCTGGGGGTCACTCAGCATTGCTTCTATCCTCTTCACAGGACTTGCTCTGGGCCGCCAGCTTCTACTCTCGCTTCTTCTTGTCCTACATCCCCTTCTACGGTATCCCTGGGGCACTCCTCCTCTTTGTTGCTGTCAGGTATGGCCAGATTCCAAATGGCAGGGGATGGGGGTGTCACACAGGCAGCAGGTGACCTTGACCGCAGCCCTCCCTGCTCAGCCTTCATTTGCCCTTCTGCAGAATGGGCAAGTAGTGCCAGTTCCTTTGGCTGCTAGGGGAATCAAACACAAGTGTAGCCAGGTGCCGGTGGCTCACACCTGTAATCCTAGCTACTCGGGAGGCAGAGAATCAGGAGGATCAGGGTTCCCAGCCAGCCTGGGCAAATAATTCTCAAGACCCTGTCTCGAAAAAACTCATCACAAAAGTAGGGTTGATGGAGTGACTCTAGGTGTAGGCTCTGAGTTCAAACTCCAGCCCTGCAAAAATAAATAAATAAAAATTTTAAAACCACAGTGTAGTGGCAGGGCCCCCAGGCTGCTAGGTGTGAGGTAGCAGCCTGGAATGCTCGTGGCCTTGTGGGTGACCCTCGAGCAGGGCAGCTCTGCCTTCAACCTTGTGGGGGAGACACTGTCCATTCTTTCTTTTAACACCAGGGAGGGAGAAATTTACAGGCAGAGGAGCTGAGGGACAGCCTCACTCCAGCCTCCACTCAAGGGGCCTCAGTGGTGAGCTGGATATGCGGCAATGCTTGTGCCTCCCTCACAGGGTCCTGGAGAGCCACTGGTTTGTGTGGATCACACAGATGAACCACATCCCCAAAGAGATTGGCCATGAGAAGCACCGGGACTGGGCCAATTCTCAGGTGGGCAGAGGAAGGGCCAGGTGGTGGCCATGCTGGGAGTGGAGGGGTCCCAGCTGGAACCAGTGGGCAGGGAGGGATGGGGCCTGATGGGGCTGCCAGGTGTGAGAGGAATGCAGCGGGGTAGGACTCCAAGCCAGCCTCCTTCACCTGTGCTCTTCCTGCTCCTGGCAGCTGGCTGCCACTTGCAACGTGGAACCCTCACTCTTCATTGACTGGTTCAGCGGGCACCTCAACTTTCAGATCGAGCACCAGTGAGTGCCCCCCAGGGGTCCTGACAGGGGCTGGGGGAGTGGGACATCCCAGTCTTTCCTGGGAGGCCAAGCCCAGAGCCCCGGGATCACCAGAGACCTTGGGCGGGATGGCAAGGGGGCCAGGGAGGTGAGGAGTGTGCACAGTCCCACATCTCTGCATACTCCTCACCTCTAGCCTCTTCCCCACAATGCCGAGGCACAACTACCGCAAGGTGGCCCCACTGGTCAAAGCACTGTGTGCCAAGCACGGCCTGCATTATGAGGTGAAGCCTTTCCTCACTGCCCTGGTGGACATCATCAGGTAAGGCACCCAGGCTCTTCAGTGATAGTAGCTGCCATGCCCACTTCCTCCCACTCAGCTCCTCCTAAGCAGCTGGCCCCCTAAGCCACATGGGGCCCTTGTTAAGAACTGGTATTTAAGACCTTTCTAGATCATCCTGTGCCCTCCCTCCCTTCCCCACCATTCATCCACAGACTGAGAATTCACAGAGCAGCTACAAATGTCAGTGAGCAAGTCAGACTGAGGTTGCTGCCTCCCTGGAGCTGGCATTCTCGTGGGGGAAACAGAAAGCAAGCAGCGGGAAGGAAGGAAGAAAGGGCGGGAGAGAGGGAAAATGTGAGCAGTGCTTTGGCAAAACAACAAAAGTCTAGGGTGGAGGCAGGTGAAGGAATGTGAAGGGCCAGGCGGGGATGCAGTTGTTAACAGGGTATCATGTGGGCCGTATGGAGAACCTGACGTGAAAGCAGACACAGGAAGTGAGGAGACAGCTGATCATGGGGGAATCTAGCAGAATAGTATTCCAGGCAGTGCAAAGGCCCTGAGGCAGGAGTGGAGCCACTGAACAGAGGAAGGCCTGCCTGATTTACATCTTGGAATGATGCTCTGATTGAGTATGCTATTTGGGCAAGAATGGAATCAGAAAGAGAAAAGCCAAGGCTCCTGCACTTACCCAGGCATGCGAGATGGGGGTTCAGCCCCTGGGGGCAGCCTAGGAGGTGGTAACCGAGGTCAGAGGCAGGATCTCCCTCCTCTGCATCCTTACACATACTGATCTCTTTACTTGGATGCTCTTCCATCTGTACTACTATTGAGGCTTCTCTTCCTTCGTGACCCTTCCAGGCCTGATCCTCTGAGCCCCTGCCACATGGTTCACCCCTGCCAGAGCACCTAGCCCAGGGTTTCTTGCAAGTTGTTAATATTTCTGGCTTCTCCCTAATTTTGGGCCCCTGGGGAGCAGGTTCCCTGTTGTATATGTCTTGGGGTCGTAAGGCCGAGCAGGAGGAGGCAATAGAGAGAACCATAGAGGCTCATGCCTGAAATAGGCCATCTGCCCTCCCTTCTCCCAGCCCTCGCTGCTCCTGGTCTGGATTGTACTCCAGCCTGTGTCTGGCTTCCTCTCCTAACCCATTCCCGGACCACACACAGCTGTCTACCCCAGGGAACATGGACTCAAGGGAGTGGGAATCTCTCCACTCACTCTCCTTACGGGAAACACGTGGGGGTGTCAGCATCTTACAATGGAGTTCCTGACCCCTACTCCCACCCACCTCCCAGGTCCTTGAAGAAGTCTGGCAATGTCTGGCTGGACGCCTACCTCCACCAGTGAAGGCAGCATCCGCCTGGGCGGAGAAGGGGTAAGGGCCCAGGGCCCCAGCAATCACCGAGCCACCCCAGGCAGGATCTACAGCCCCACCCTCACCCCCACGGTGTGCCCTGCCTGCCCACCTGGTCCTGCCATCCTCCCCGGTCAGCAGCACTATGGCTGCAGCTCTGTGCCCAGCAGGACCAGGGCAGAGGGAGGGTTCTCAAAGCCACATGGTGAGCACAGCATGTTTTCCTAGAGCAAAAGTGGGGGGAGACTGTTATTTTTATATAAAAACCAACCTAGATATATTACGGAGTAGTGTTGAATGTGCATGAATTTTGGAACTGGAGTGTGACACCCAGACCCCTCAGAGGGGCCATCAAGGGTGTGGACAGGGGATGGGGAATAAGGAGTACCCCCTTTGCCATGGGTGCTCTGGGTTCAGCTCAGATTTGCCTGACGGCTTGAGTCCTTTAGCCTCATCCACTCACCAGCACCCTGAGGCAAGTCATGTGCACAAAGCCCCAGGGCTGAGGCCCACATCTGCAGGGCCCCCTGGGGGGGGCAGGGGATGGGGAAATCGGCATGTCCGGCTCTGTACTGGCCTCGTCCTATAGTCCTTCTCATACTCCTCCAGGCAACTGGGCTTTAGAGGGCACCAGATAGTCAAGCATCATGCGGGCAGTGGTAGTGAAGCCTGTGCGTAGCAGCACCCGTCTCTCCCAGGCCCACCTGCTTGCCTGCAGTCACTGCACTGAATAAACCAAGCTCCTGAAGTGTGGCCATTCTGTCCCTGAGTCCCTGGAATCTGAGGACACATCTTTGGGCAGAGCACAACGGGTGCAGCTAGACTGTAGTATGTTTTTTGGATAAACCCAGGGCCTTCCCATGCTAAGGGTGCACTCTGCCACTGACCTAAACACCCTCACCTGGGGAGGGCATTGAGTTGCTTCCTGGGTGTCCTGAAGGTAAGCGAGAAGTCAGAGGTGGACTGCCAGGCCCCTCTGCTTCCAACACCAACACTCAACAGCTCTGAGTTGACCTGCAGGTGTCATTTGAAGACGCGTCGGCAACTTTGAACAAGCAGCACAGTTGAAATGCTGAGGTTAGACTTCTCCTAGGGCCTTTCTGGCATGGGAGCTAGTATCACCACCCCCAGCTATGGGGATGGCCCCCACTTTTGGTCGGAGTTCCCATTCGTCTGTATCGGGTTTCCTTTTAAAGGTAGAAAGGGTATAGATACTGTAATTCTTCTTATGTCCCCTCTCCACCTCTCCACCAGGATGACACTGTGGGGAAGAGGCCTTTGCTGCCCTCTCAACTCAGCCCTCCACAAGGCAACCCTAGGCATCTACTTGTAAACTATTCCGAGACCCAGATCCCTTGATGCAGATGGAGATCATGGTACTTGGGTCACTGCATGGTTGCATGGGCTCTTCCCCAGGGACTCGCCTTCTGGGTTCTCCTAACTCTCAGGACTCCTCCCTTGCCCAACCCAGCCTAAGGTCCAGGGTCTCCTGACAGCACCTGGATATTGGCCTTATTTATTGCTAGAAGCTCCTGGCTGCCCAGAGCTCAGCACAGGAGGCTTCAGCCTGCTTTCAGAGAGGGTGACAGCTGGCAGAGTGGCTCGAATGGTAGAGCACCTGCTTGGCAAGTGTAAGGTCCTGGGTTCAAACTCCAGTGGCTCAGAAAAAGAAAAAAGTTATCTCTCAGAGAGGGTGACAAACTAGGTTTGGCCCACCCAGATTCACTCCACTCTATGTGATTTCCACCCCCTCATCTCTGGGATCAGATGAACTTGGGAGGAGGATGGGTAGAAAATAGAGGGTGAAGTCCTGCCTCTGCTGGAAGGCAGGGTGTGTGACTTTGGGGAAGTTATTTAACTTCTCTGAGATGGAGTGCCACCCCTCCCAAGTGATAGGAAGTAAAAGGGGTGGGTGCAGGAAGGCTCTTAGCAAAGGGCCCAGCGGTTCAGTTCAGTGGTTTATGTACTGACTCTTATGGGCAGTACTGTGCCCTGAGCTCACTATTTACTCTGTGACCTGAAAACAAGCTCTTTGCCTTCCATAAGCCTCCTGAGGTAGGATTGAATGCCGCGTGCAGTGGTGCACTTATAATCTCACCTACTTGGGAGGCTGAGGCAGGAGGATCAAAAGTTAGAAACAAGCCTGGGTAACTTAGCAAAACCCTAACAAAACTTTTTATTTTCTCAGAGGGCTTAGGGGTAGAGCACTTACCTAGTATGCTCAAGTCCTTGGGTTTAGCCTGTAGTACCGTACACACACACACCAAAAAAAAAAAAAAAGAAGGCTTCTTCCTGCCTCAAGTGCAAACTCCTGATGCCCCAAAGCATGTCCTGTGTTCGAGGTCTCTATTAGGAGTCCCTCTCCTGTCATCACCTGTCCAAGTCCTGCAGATCTACTCCTGGAGCCACAAGAGCACGCAGAGCCAGGGCCAGGGAGAGCTTGGGTGACATTCCTCCTGTTCACGCCCTGGCAGACGGCCATCTGTGTACACCAAGTACACTGGGATCCACAGTGGTGGCTCTGATGCAGTTAGGGGGATGGTAACACCCAGGCCTCTAGGGACTCCGACTGCTCCTGCTCAAAGGGGTCACTAAGCCTGCAGCACCACCTAGGGGCATCTGGAGTGTCTGCACTACTGCGGGGCAGGTTGTGCTTCATGCTGCCCCTGGCGGTGACCTAGAGAAGCGTGATGTCCCTTGTGCAAACATGGAGTTACTCAATAACTTGTTTAAAGATCCCTTGGGGAGACCCCCTGCCCTCATGTATCTACCTAGGTCATGGCAGGTCATGTTTGCCCTTATCTTCCTCTGTCCCTCATTAGAGCCACTAGGAATGGGCTACCTCCAACTCCTCAGCGAGGACCCCTCTTCCATTTTCTGTAGGTCTCTTCCTATTTAGTCAAAGAGCAAAGATTAGGAAACAGAGCCCAGATTTCTGAAAAGACCAGAGAAAGGCCTTGGTGGTGCCTCTGGGAAACCTCGCCTCCCCTTTTCTGTACAAGAGTCCCAAGCCCGGAAATAAGCGAACCAGACTTGTGTGTTTGTTCTCCAATCAACCAACATCTAAGTCTCCTGTGATCCAGTTCAGGAGAACCAGCCCCTCCTGTCATTTGGGAGCAGCTGTCCACAAGGGGGCAGACAATGTCTTTGTGACTGGACAGGTTGTGGGTCTCTCCCATGCACACCTTCTGCACGTGCTGTCCTGGAACACCTTGCTCGAGGAACACCTTGCTCGACACCACCAGTATCCAAGCTCCAGGCTCCTGTTGATACTTCTCTCTAACATACTTGCTCTTGAACCAGATGGTTTGGAAGAAAGTCCTAACTGCTTTCAAAGTCCAAAGAAAAGCATTTATGATGGTAGAGGGCAGAAGGGCCATGTTGGTAATATCTAGCACACTAGGGGGTCATGTGTTCATGAGAAGCCAGTCTGGTTAGAAAGGTAAAATCCCACCAAAAGAGTACTTGGCAGCCAGGGCCTGGGCAAGCCTTCCCCTACTATTCATGGATGGACACCAAGTACACTGGGATCCACAGTTGACTGGTCCATCTCAGACATTAGAACAGCTGTCCCCCAGGGCACTCATCTTGGGGACAGCATAACTAGGCCAGCTATGGCAGCCTGAGCACAGCCCAGGTAGCTGCCACCTTTGCCCTGCCCCTTCTTGCCAAAGGCCTTCTCTCCCCTCCTAGAGGACCCAGAGGGCTCCAAGTGTCCACCTGGGCATCTAAGGAACTTGCCATGCTGCAGACTTCCTTTGGGCCTCCAGCTCCACAGCCCAGGCTGCTCAGCCAGCCCTGTCTCAGAGCCTGGCACCCTGTACGTGACCACACCACTGCAGAACTGATAGAGCTATCTCTGTAGCCACCCTGGTATGGGTGAGCTCTTATCTCCTCTGCCCAGACTGGCTGTCCCCCCACTGTTCACACCTACTCAGGCCAGCCAAGAGCCTCCTGCAAACAGCCTGACATTTGATAGAATGGATGTGGGGGAAGAGATGGCCAGGCAGACTGGGTTGGGAACAGGAATCCACATGCAAGCCTAATTCAGCTGGTGTCACTGTGTGGTCTTAGGGCAGTCCTTTGCCCTCTCTGGCCTCAGCTTCCTGGGTTATGAATGAAGGTGTCAAGGTTTGGTCGCTCAGGCCTTACAATTTTGGTAGGGGGTAGAAACCCACACTTCTGGGGGTGTTGATCAAAAATCTCAGTTGAGTACCAGGACAAGAGAAGGGTCATTAGGCAGAGAGCAGGTATGGCTGTCCCCAGCTTCTTGACCCAAGGGTAGTGCTCAAGGGCAGGGTAGGGGCTGGAGGTGTCACAGGTCAAGGGGAAGCCACAGGGGACATCAAGTGCCCATGGATCTGGGCCCAGATTTGCCTGGTGTCCTCAAAGCTGAGCATCCACCTAACCCTAAGTCTCCCCACTCCCTGGGTCCCTGGCTGTCCCAGACAATAGCCCCTGGAGTCCCAGTTAGCAGAGCCCAACCTGGGAGTCAGGGGTGCCAGGCTGGACCTGGTAGAACACAGCACAGGTGAGTGTTCTCCAAGGCCTCCTGTAGGCCTACCTGGGGTGAGGCTGAGGACTCACAGATGTTGAGAAATGTCAGTGTCCTTGGAGTCCTCTGGCCCAGCAGTTTTGTTGCTCAGATGCAGAAACTGTGGCCCAAAGGGTGGGGGAAGCAAAGGACTCCCCCAGGGCCACTTAGTGAGTCAGCATCAATCTCTCCCTCCTGGCTTGGGGCATCACACATATCCCACTGGCCCACTGTCTGTCCCTGCCTGGCTAGACTCAGGCCACTTAGCCCCCTGCCTCAGTCCTGCTGGGAGGTACTGCAAGGCCAGTAGGAGCTGAGGTGTTGGCTACCCTATGCCTCTTGGTTCTTATCTGGCACACCCAGCTAGCTGAGCCAGACCACAGCTAGCTAGCTGATCAGAGAGCAGCATGGATCCAGTGGAGCACCAAGTGCCTCTGGTGTATCCTTCAGACTTATCTGCGGCTCCGGGGATCATACCTGGGACCTGGTCCCCACAACCTTGCCTATGACTACGTGACCCAGGCTGGAATGGTATCAGCCTCCCCCAGGCTGTGGGGACTGATTGAGCCACAGCCTGGGAACAGCATGGAAACATCAGTCTCCAGGGTCTTCTGCAGCACCTTTGAAGGACTGGGGTTGTTTGCCTCCATGGCCTTCCTCCAGCCCAGCCTCCCTCCCTGCTGGGAGGGCCTCCCCTGGCCCCCAATACCACACCCCCAATATTAGCACGCAGGGAAGAATACTAGTCAGCCATTGATCTTACTACAAGAAAGTGAGAATAAAATTACTTCTTTTATTTCCCAAAAATGTAGGGGTAGGGAAGCAAAGTGATAAAAATTAACATCAGTTCTCTGTGGATTCATTCTGACTCTGGGGGAAGATACAGTAGCTGGTTGAAGGAGATTGTTGTCATGGTATCCTGGAGGTCTCTCAATGCCAGCTGGTCTCTCCTGGCTGGCCAGAGCTGGGGCATCTAGAAGGCTTCCCCAAAAGGCCCCCACTGAATCATGTGTGCCCGGGCTCTCCCCTGAATCTAAATATTGGTTAGTGAGTTAGATCTGAGAATGTCGCAGCTTAGTTGCCTCCCAGTGCATCAGACATCCCCCTTCCCTCACACTTCCTAGTACCCTCAGCTGCCCTGTCCCCCAGCCCAGCATATACCCCACCCTGCCCCATCCCCCACCCCCTTCTCAGCTGCAGCTTGGCCCTCACTGGGTCCTTCCATGCCCTAGCACCTCACAGTGGCCTCCTCCTGAGACTCCCTTCTCCCTGTTTCCCCTCCTCTCCTGACAGCAGTGCCCCCAAGCCACAGTGTCCACTGTGACCTCATTGAGTGTGCCTGGTTCCGCCCACTGGGGCTCAGGGAGCCTGGCAAGGGTCAGCTGGTAACAACAGATTGTCCTAAGACCCAGCCTCGCTGCCACCCTCCTGACACAGTGCATCCTGAAACAAAAGGTTAGAACCGCAAAAGTTAAAAAACTAAACAACAGGAGAAAGAGGCAGAGATAGATAGAGAGGAGAAAGGCTCAGTGGTGGCCACAATGGGGGGGCTGTGATGAGCTCCTACAGGAATGCAGGTCCCAAGTCCTCTCATCCAAGCAGCCAGAGACTGGACAGAGCATTTAGAGAAGGGTCTGATTGCTTCTAGGATTTTACACCTCTCAACCAGAACAAGCATCTGCATGGAGTAGGGGATGGAGCCAAGCCTCCAGGCTAGCCAGCCCCTCCCCCAACCTGGCCATTGCCTCTGCTGAGCCTGCACAAAGGCCTCCTCTTCCTTCCCAGTGCGTCTCCACCTTAGGTTCCAAGGTCATATGCTCTGCAGTTGGGAAGACAGTGGAATGGAACCTGCACAAGCCCCAGAGCCTGGACTTGACTGGTGGTAGGCATAGAGGACCTTTCCCTCAGCCTCCAGATTCAAGCTGGCTGTGCTAGAGTCCTGGACCACTGTAGGGAGGCCCGAGGTACCAATCCCAGCCATGGGAAGGAAACCCAGAGCACAAAACACACTTTCCTCCAAAAAGGCAGACCATGTAGCCCTCAAGGAGAATGGGGTCAGGCCTGGAACCTGCTCTGCAGATCCCAATAATACATGAAAGACACAAGGGAGAGTTTGAAGGCTAGCGGCCAGGCTGGAAGAAGAGGAGTCCCAAGTCAGACCCCAGGATCTCTGATCGCCTCAGATCTTTAGGGGAACAAACTGGAGGCAGGGACAGAGTCATCTCTTATGACCACTTCTCTCCCTGCTCCTGGGGTTCTCCTAAGGCTAGTGGCAGAGGGGAGAAGGCTAGGGCTGATAGAGGGTAGGGGGCTGGATGGAGAGAGAAGTGAAGGGAAAGGAGAAAAAGAGAGAAAGACCAAACATGGGGTCCGTGAGCCTCTGTGTACCCCAGCCTCACGGGAGCCTCTCAGAACAAAAGCCCGCCCCTCCCTCTGGTCATCACCCCACCTGTGCCCCTTCCCCATAGGTGCCCCAAGACACCACTTCATTTGTGGAGGTAGGCATCCAGCCACAGCTGCCCAGACTTCCTCAGGGAACTGAAAAAAAGGAGAGGGGACCAGGATGGAGAGAGGCCACGAGCCTCTCTCCACAGAAACCATGGTGGAGCTAGGAGGCCACGCTGGGGGGTGGCAAGTGCTTCCACTCACTACCAACCAGGGATTGCCACTGCTGGGGGGGCTACAGGTTGCTGGCCAGGCTCCCCAGGGATGTCCCTGAGGGCAGACAAAGGGAAAGTGCCATTGCAGCCCAGAGCTGGAATCCAGTGGTCTCCCACTGTCTCCACCGTCTCCACCGGAGTGGTCCCAGCTAGGTGCCTCTCAGTCCCTCGGCCCCAATTCCCAGCCCCTTCCACCTGTCACCTCCAGCCCCTTACCTGATGATGTCCTTCAGGGCCCTCAGCAGGGGCTTCTCCTGGTACTCAATGCCATGCTTGGTACACAGGGACTTCACCAGCGGGGCGATCTTGTGCAAGTTGTGCCGGGGCATGGTAGGGAAGAGGCTGGGCGATTCAGGCAGGCAGAGTGTGAGGGGTCTGGGGACCCAGCTGCTTCCCACCTGTCCCCATGGCCCAAGGAGCCTGATGGAGTCCAAGAGGCCCAGTCTGCAGCTCTATTTGCGGCTCCCTCCAAGCCTTGTGGCCATCACCAGTGTGGAGAGGCAGGAGGGGCAGTGTGTGAGCAGGGATGTGTCTGTGCTCTAGAAAGCTGGGAAGATAGATGGCACTATAGGCTCACACTTATAATCCTGGCTATTCAGGAGGCAGAGATCAGAAGAATCGCAGTTAGAAGCCAGCCTGGGTAAACAGTTTACAAGACCCAACACAAAAAAGGGCTGGTGGAATGGCTCAAGGATGGAGCGCCTGACTGGCAAACGTTAGGCCTGAGTTCAAACCCCAGTGTTACCAAAAAAAAAAAAAAAAAGATTTCAGATGGCCAGAGACAAAGATGCCATATCTTCCAGAAAAAGGAAAAAGATGGGAGATGAGAAGAGGACAACAACAAGAGGTGGGACAAGGGCAGGGAGCATCAGGGACAGTCCCTCAAGCTACCTGTGTTCCTGGCCGGCTATCTAGCCAAGCCTCAGTCTTCCCATTAATAAAGTGGAAGCAACAGTCCCGACCCTGCAGACCTCGTGGAATCCTGAGATGTGAGTGCAAGTTCTCTAACTGCAAAGCCTCAGCTGCTCGTGACGTGGTGAACTCGTCATGTAGCCATGTGGCACAGGACCCGGGCACCAACACCCCTGAGAGACAGCCTGGGAGCCCCTCTCCTGCCCTCAGTGAGACTAGCTGCAGAACCACACTCTAGGATGGGGCTGTGACCTTGCAAACAGGAGAGAGAGAGAGAGGAAGCCCCCATGCACCACCCTGTGCCCCATGGGCCTAGAGGCCACTTCTCCCCCATTGTCTGTCCTCCCACCTCCCTCAGCCTTGCTGAGCCTGCACTCACTGGTGTTCGATCTGGAAGTTGAGGTGCCCACTGAACCAGTCATTGAAGAAGGACTGCTCCACGTTGCAGGTGGCTGCCAGCTGTGGAGGGGACCAGATGAGAGATCAGGATAGAAGGAAGACCAACGGGTCTAGTCTTAAACCTGTGATGGCCAGCTTTACCCAGGGTCTTAGAGCCACCACTCTGTGTCACATTATTCCACCAGGAGTCCCAGATTCCCCAAGGTCCCTGTGGATTCCTACTACCATTTCTTGTGCAGCCCTGAGGCTACCAGCAGGATATAGGCGGCCCCAGAACAACCTGGGTCTGCTCATACAGCCAAACCTGGGGTGAGGGCATGGTTACTGCTTCCAGGCTCTGCAGGATCCTGGTGATGAGCTCTGCCTTCCCTCACCTGGCTGCTGAACCAGTCTCGGTAGTGTTCAAGGTCAATCTCCATGACAAGATGATTCATCTGTGTGACCCACACAAACCAGTGGCTCTCCAGAAACCTGGAAAAGAGTGCAGCTCAGAGCTGGAACCTCCAGGGACTGTCCATGGGGCCACCTGAGAACAGAACTGCCTGTTTCCTTACCCAGCCCAGGACAGGGCAGGCACCAAACTCAGCTGCAGCCCTTGTCTCACTGCCAGGATGAGGGTCCCGGGGCAAAGTGAGAACACATGGGCCTTTCCTCCTGGGGCTCACGTCACAGACCCATCAATGTCAAGTGCTCTTGAGGGCCCAGGGATGAACCAGAAAAGCTCACAAGTACCTGATGAAGTTGAGGAAAACGAGGGATCCCAGGATGCCGTAGAAAGGGATGTAGGTGAAGAAGAAACGCAAGTAGTAGCTAATAGCCCAGGCTAAGTCCTGCAGGGAGAAAAAAAGATCAGGCACAGAGCACCTGACCACAGATGTGAACACACACCTCCTACCACTCTGCATAGGTGTCCAAAAGAAATCTCAACAGGGCTCTAGAAGTTGGGTGTCAGGCCCACGGGTGTGATGCCTCCTGGAACTGCCTGCTTGCATGGGGTTTGCATGGCTGCCTTAGTTTCCGGGGAAAAGTGAGAAAGAAATGGGACATCGGCTGAGGGGCAGTCGTGAGCAGGAGATGAGCAGGCATTGTGTGGGTATAGAGAATTCTGAAAGTGCACATATTTTAATCTACGCAGCCCCCCAAACACAGGTCACAAGCTGTCCTCAGCCCTGTCCCTACTCACCAGCACCTGGATCTCCTTCCTTACCTCTCACTCCAGCATGACAAGTGACACTGTCTGACCCTGCTCTCGGGGCCCTCCAGCAACTTTAGATAGAACAGGCCTCTCCTCTCATGATCTCTCCACTACACTGTCCTCTCCTACCCACCCTCTCCCACCAAGGCAGGAACCAGGGTCCTGAACTTGGACATTTTCTCTCCTGGGAAGTGCCCAACTGGTGGCCCCAGCTGCTCCTCCCTCCACCACACGCGCACCGGCAGGCATACTGTAGTGTGGTCCATCTCTCTCCACTTTACTACTCAAGCCCACGTGTCCTGGCTGGACCACAGCAGGGCCCCCATTGCTTTCCTGCTTCTCCTTATGCACCCATGGCAATCAGAGACCTTTGCTCCAAGCAGATCCTATCTCTCTGCTGCAATGCCCTCCCTGTCACACTGACAGAATTCAGGGCCTCATGCATGCTAGGTGAGCATTCTGCCACTGAGTCATATCCCAAGCCCCATTTTAATGGTTTTGTGTCTAAGCAGTGCAAAGTACATTTGTATATGTTCGTATACATAATATATGTATTCATGATATATGATACACACACACACACACACATACATGAGACGCCAGGGGGCCCTGAGAGTAGGGGGCTGGAAGGCCACATTGGGAGAGGCAGGTGCTTCCTCTCACTACCACCAGGCAGGACAATCAGAGCAAGGAGGAGAGCATAAGAGGTGGGGGATGGAAAGGCGACAGGAAGAATACCGAGCAGAATATTCAAGGATATCAGATCCAGCAAAAGACCAGGGAAGTGGGGCTGGAGAGCACCCCAGCCTGGCCACGGGTGCCTGTGCCAGATCAGTGAGCACCTCCCTTTGGAAGTCTTTCTCAAAGCTCCAGGGTTTTCCCACTTCTGTCCTCCAGGCCAGGGTTTCCCAGCGTGGGCAGCTGTCCTGTGCACGGTAGGACATTGAACACCTCCCTGGCTAGATGCCATAGCATCTTCCCACCCCAAAGTTGTGACAATCAATGAATCTAGATATTGCCAGGTGGCCTAACAGAACTGTGTCTGTTGAGATCTGCTGCCCAGTCACAGATCCACCTGGGCCGCATGGTCTGAGGCTGCAGTCAGATTCCTCTGGCTCTGCCATCTGACACCTTTTAGGGACACAGTCCAATTTCCTTTCCTGCTCTTTGTAGTCCATGCTTTGTTCCTTACAGAACAAGCTCCATAAACAATGAACGTATGCTTATTAGTGTATATAATAAGATATCATATGACATGCTATAATAGATATATATATGTATCTCCAAAGCCATCTGCTATACAGCTGGTTAAAACACCCCACCTGGTCCCTGACCAGCACTGCAGGGCACAGCTTCTTTTTAGCTGTGTGCTCCCAGGGTCCAGGTAAGCCTTGGTGGAAACAGTAGTCCTGCTAGGAGTAGGAGATCTGGGTTCAAATGTCAGCTACTCTGTTGACCCAGAAACATTGTCCTCTGTCCTCCAGCCCTTGCCTACCTGCTCAGTAAAGCAGGGCTCAACACCTCGCCCAGGTGGCAATGCCTCACCAGGCCTGGAACAGTGTATTTATGGATAAAGTGCTCACTTTTGAGAAAAACAGCAGTCACAAACAAATGTGCAGGTTCTACCAGGAAAGAGCTGGCAAAGACTCCCAGAGTCCCACCACCTCCTCACGCATGCCCACCTGCTCAAGACCCAGCTACAAGCAGAATTGCCAGGCACATCCCTCTGTTCACAATCTCAATGACAGCATGGAACATAAAGCACTCAGAAGCCCTAAGATGCTCTACACATGAATACTGTTATTTGAAAGAGAGAGAGGTCACTGGGGTGTGGGGGAGGGTACAGGATGTGACATCAGGAGGCCACCTCACCCCTCTGGTGTCGCACTGATCGTTTCAAGCTTTCAGCCTCAATAATATTCATGTATGAAACTATTTGGGTTTTTGTTGTTGTTTTAAAAAGGACCTCAATACCTACTAAGTGATTGCCCTTGGCTGTTCTCTCCCAAGGCCAGGGACCAGGTTCCCTTCTGCCCATGGCAACCACTCCATACTGCCTATTCCATCACAGACAAATTATCATCTTGCACAACAAAATCACAACTGCCCATCAGCACAGAGTCAAGCAAGGGCTCTGCGAGCCCCCTGCTGCTCAGCCCCTCTCCAGTGGCCCTTTCTCTCTCTTTAAAAGCAGAATCAGGAGACACCTCTAAATTGTTTTGGATTGAATTCTGTCCCCCAAATTCATACGCTGAAGTTCTAACCCCCGGTGCCTCAGAAGGTGACCTTCTTTGGAAATAGAGGGTCACTGCTGGTGTACTAGTTAAAATGAGGTTGTTAGGGTGGCTCTGATTCAATATAGGACTGGTGTCCCTATAAAAAGGGACACAGTACTTATTATATTATATTACATCATATCAAAACATTGATACCGATAGCCATGGGAGGGGGAAGATATAAGAGAGACAGAGAAGGCTGCCCACTTACCAGCCAAGCTGCTAACACCCTGATTTTGGATTTCTGGCTTCCAGACTGGAAGACAATACATTTCTGTTGCTTAAGGCACTCAGTTTGGGGTGCTTTGTTTTGTAGTCTTAGCAAAAGAGTAACATCTTAGCCAAGCACAGCTGCCCCCATTTTCTAGAGTGTAGGGTAATATGGTTCAGGAGGCCCACAGGGAGCATAGGGGGTTGGTGACTGGGCAGGATCAAAGCTGAGAGCTGTGTTTGCCTCTCATCACATCACTTTCAAGAACCTTCTAAGGTACTCTGCCAAGGCAGCAGTTGCCCTGGTATATATTGCAAGTACATATTGAGAGAGCTTTAGGATTGGTGTGCTGTGACCTTCTTGGTTCTGGTGGCCCCCAAAGGAGTCCCTTCCCAAGAGTGACAAAGAAGCTACCCCCAGGGTGAGATGCCTGTGGCCCCCCAGACCCACAGAGGCACATGGGGCATAGTGGCAGCCTCCTGGGTGCTCATGTCCCAGTCACCCTCCCCACACCCCCAGCCAGCACCATGCCCGGACTCACCACCCAGTCCCTTCGAACGATCATAGTCATGATGATCTGATACTGGAAGTACATGGGGATGAGCAGTGGCGGCCCAACTGCAGGAGAGAGGAGAAGGCTTTTTGGCACCCTGTCCCTGTCCCACCCATCTGATCTGGAAGACAGGTAGGAGCAGGCTGACACCGAATACAGGACGCCAGGAGCTAGGAGGATGGTAACATGGGCAGAGAGGGGTCTGTGAGGGTTGGCTGCTGTGGCCCCTCCTTCTTGGACAGGTTTGGTGTCACTTTCTGGGTCTGAAAAGGGCGTGGGTAGGAGAGGGACAAATACACTCTGGAGTGAGAGCAGGGTCAGCGGTGGTGTCAGGTGCCAGGCACTCACTCAGGAAGAAGTACTCATGCTGGTGATTGTAGGGTAGGTATTTCAGCTTCTTCTTGCCATACTAAGGAGAAATAAGCAATAGTGAGTACTAACCTCCCTGGCCTTCCCCTCCCACCTTGTGTCCCATCCCTTCCCCCAGCTCAGAGCAGCTGCCATCCACTCCCAGTCTGCACCTGGGCTTGCCACGGCTGGCAGTGGCCAATTTCCTCAGCCCTAATTATGTGTGCCAGTACTAAGCAGCCAGAATCCTTACATGGTCTACAGGCACATGTTTGAAGGCTCAGGCTCAGGGCTGGCAGAATAAATAGCTCAAGTAGCAGAGTGCCTGCCTAGCAAGCTGAGGCCCTGAGTTCAAACCCCAGTACCACCAAGAAAAAAAAAAGGCTCAGGCTCAGAGTTAAGTCACTGCCCAGGCCATGAGAAATAAGCGTGCAGGACTAGTTTTGTTTTGTTTTGTTTTTCTGTGTTGCTGGCAATGGAACCCAGGACCTCACCTGTGCTAGGCAAGTGCTCTGCCAGTGAAACACATCCCCAGCGCTGTGGGTCTGGCTGGAATCCAAAAATGCATGGGCACCCAGAAGGAGCCCCTGGTCCTGTCTCCATCCCTCTGGGAGTGAGAGAAGCTCCCAGGTCTACCTGGAGCCCCCAGCAGCTGGGAGAACCCAGATGAGGGCCCAGGAATTGTCAACAGTCATCAGACTGTGAGCACGTGCTCCCTGGAGCTTCTCCACAATTGCTAAGACCTACCCACTCCTCCCCAGGCAGATTTACACCTGGGGACTCCCGCAGAACACAGGAGGTCATGCACAGCAAGGCGTCCAGGACTATCCCTGGTTACTTTTAATTCCAAGGCCTAGTCCCTAGGGACAATGCCACTACCTGAAGGACACCCACTCTTCCTACTTGCGATGCTGGGGACCGTAACGGGACCCTGGGCTTGGAGCCAATAGACTTGAGTTTGATAGACTCTTTCTCACCAAAACTGGGACCCCATGCAAGTCCCCTGGCCTCTCTGAGCCTGTTTGACTTCCAAACTACTGGTTGTTAGGAGGACATGGGCACAAGGCCAAGCTGACCCCAGAACACTGCCCTTCAATCTCCCCTTCCTAGATCCAATGGCCAGCCAGAGCCTCCATCCTTAGATGCTGTCACTTCCTACTTGGGGTCAGGAGATCAAAGTGACTTACAGACGGAAGGAACCTTGGATGTCATCGAGGACGATGCCCCTATTCTCCAGGTGAGAACACAGAGAGGGAAGTGCTTGTCAAAATCACAGGAAGAGCCCGTGGGCTCGCACAAGGCAGAGGGTGTGGATGAGGACAAAATCAGCCTTAAGACTTGCATCTTGGCACCAGTGACCATGGTCCCAGCACACCCAGCCGAAGCACCATCAGAAATGAGCCCTCTGTTCTGCGTGGCTTCCAGTGCTTGGCAAGGACCTCACTCGTTTCCAGAAAACATGTCATGTGCACACAGACTGTCATTAAGGTCAAGGCTGAGGCTGGCCTTGGAGGGATCCAAGCCAGGGAGACCTCACAGGGGCCTTTGATGATTTCCCAGTGAGGAAGGGACAAGAAGGGCTGGCAAGCGGGGAGGATACCCCCCCAAAGTGGCCAGTTTGGGGTGACAGCAGTGACCTAGAGTTCTGAGGGGACTGTGGCCCACAGACTGGGCCCTAGGTCCTGCTGTAACCACTTCTCAGAAGTCAGGAAATTGACCCTCAGGCCCAGCCTGTGTGTGCAGGCTGCTCAGCCCTGGCCGCTGTCCACAGCCACATCTCACCCCACAGGTCATCCTTCCCTCTCAGGGACTGAACACCAAGGACAATCAGTTCCCAGCTGTGCAGAGGCCAGAGGGTCCCCCTAGAGGGACTTAAGAACCATCAAACTGCTAGGGGAAACAGGAGGGCACTGGAGAAGTTCATCTGGAGTTGCATTTGATAAACAAGCACCCTGTTTTCATTGGTCTGGTGACTTTGGGGGGATGGCAGAGATAACAGGGCTGCCGCAGTCATCCCTAGCTGGTAAGCACTACCAGCTCCATGTGTGGCTTTTCAGTGCTCTACGCTGACTCTACTGGAGCCAACAGAGCTCTGGCCCCGGCAGTGGCCAGCCTCAGAATTAGCCTCAGAGGATTCTGAGGACAACCAGCCTTAGGGACACAGGTGCAAACAATTCACTATTTGAGCAAACTGCCTGTCCTTCCTCGGCTCTGGGCTCCTTGCTGTGAAGTGAAGGCATGACTTGTACTAGCCCGGTGTACAAAACAGGGATAAAAGTGTTGTGGGACAGCAAACAAAACATTGGTGGTGGTGGTGGTGGTGGTGTGTGTGTGTGTCACCCCTTGCAAGGTGGTGTATTAGGGATTCTCATCCAAAACTCAAAAAGTACGGTTGGAGGCTTGGTGAACTCTGCTGTGTTTTTCTTAGCCAACAGCTTGCTAAGTCATGGGAGCGAGAAGTATTTTAGAATGTACCAAACTAGGAGGATAAGCACCTGGCTTTTTGACTTATCAGAAACCTGGAGTTATCCAACAAAAGCAGTTCCCAAGTACCTGTGAGATGGTAGCTTGGAGCACGCAGTACCAGTTTGGATGGGGATGCTCCCTTTTTCCAGCTATAACTTTGCATCATTTCCTCTCTCTTGGCCTTAATCGTTGCATCTATAAAGGGCTGATGACAGCTCCTGCCTCACACATTAAGTAAAGACTAAGCAGCTGCAGGCCCAGAGTGCAGAGCCCTCCTCTCTGCCTGGAAAGTCCCCATCCACGCAGGGAGAAATCCTGAGAGACAGGGTGATTGGAGCAGAGAGCAGCGGAGACAAATGGCACTTTCACCAGCAGGGATGCGGGCAACAGCAGGGGCAGCCTGCTGTGGCCAGACCCCAAGGAGACGGTGGCACACCCAGGGCTCTACTTGAACAAGGACAGCACATTCCCAAGCTGAGGCCCAGGGTCAGGGATGCAGGCCAGGGGTGGGGGAGTGCAGCCAGCCCTGGCAGCCAGCCTGACCCTCTGTTCTCAGCCTCAAGGACCACAGGCCAGGCCATGGTGGGGGCTGGAGAGGGTGCCAGGCATGTGGAGGGATGTCTTAGGTTTGAAACAAAATGTCTGAGGAATGACAAGGGCCTTTGTTGTCTGTCTAGGGCTAGGGGGAGGGAAGCTGCCACTGAAAACCCCCAAACTCACAATGGAGAGAGAAATGAGCAGCGTGGCCACAACAGGCAGGGCCAGAATGGCAGAAGCCCCACCCAAGGTCTCTGAGAAGGGACAGTTGTTCTGAGGGGAAGATGGTCACTGTGGCCTGCCAGAAGCAGGAAGCCCCGGGTTTAGCTGCAGACGGGCAGAAAGCAGGGATATTCCCAGATGGAAGGGGAAGGCTTCAGAAACCCATTTACAACACTACAGGAAAATGGCCATTAGCTAAAGCTAGACAAATTTCCTTATTTTCTTTTTTGGTGGTACTGGGGTTTGAACTAAGGGCCTTGAGCTTGAGCGCTCAACTCCAAAAGCCACACCCCCAGCCCTGTATGCTTTAGTTATTTTTTAGACAGGGCCTTGTTTTTTGGCCTGGACCTGCCTCAGAACTCTATCCTCCTACCTATGCCTCTCGCAGTTGGGATTACAGAATACGCCACCATTCCTTGCTTGTTGAGAAGGGGTCTGGCTAATTTTTGTCCAAGGCAGTCCTTCTGATCTCTGTCACCTAAGTAGCTGGGATTACAGGCATGAGACAGGAAACTCAAATGAACACCATGAGCCACATAGCAACTATTTTTCTGAATAGTAGAGAAACTCCAACCATAAGGGCAAGATTATAAATTCAAAAAGGAGCATGCAGGAGATGTATACAGAAAAGCAGACGCTTGGTCAAGAGAGAGAAAAGGGACTCTGGTAAATGGGGAGGCCGTCTCCTGGATGGAAGGCAGAATGCAGTGATGCACATTCTTTCAAGAAGGGACAACTCACTGCACTACAAGCATAAGAGGAGGTAAGTACCAAGGAAGGATGAGAACAAAGGTCAGGTCCACCTGCTAGCACCTGGGAGAGGACAGAAAGCCCAGAGCAGACCCTGAGGCACAGGGGGCTCACTCCACTGTTTGGGAGGGGCAGTGGGGTCCCTTGGGAGCTGGGAAACTGATTGACTCTGGAGAAATTTGAAAATGGAGCATCTAGCATCCACATCCCACTGGGCAGAAGCTAAACATTCAGATGTGAAACCATAATCTGAAAATAACATGTCCTAGCCAAGTGTGGGGATTCACACATGTAAATCCCAGCTACTTGGGACGCAGAGGTAGGAGGATCACAGTTCTAGGCTGCCAGGGCAAAAAACACAAGACCCTACCTGAAAAACAAACTAAAAGCAAAAGGGCTGGAGGCATGGCTCAAGCAGTAGAGGGCTTGCCTAGCAAGTGTGAGACCCTGAGTTCAAATCCCAGTACCACCAAAATAATAAAAATTAGTAACACCAAAATTTCTGGTCTTACGAAACAGTGCAGTTACACAATGGTATGGAAATATAACAACACTGCATAGCCACCAAGAAGGATGAGATCAATCTGATTTGGTCTGCTGGAATGGTGTCCACATTTGGAGAAGTGGCAAGTTGCAGAATAGAAGGCATAGTTTATTTTTGTTTTTAAAGAAACAGAGTTTTGAAGGCTCCATATACACAGAGAAAACATTGAGAAGGACATACGGCATCTTGTTAACAGTGGTTACCTTGGGGTCAGGCGACCTGAGGCCAAAGGGATGATGGAGATAAGACAATCACTTTTTGGCCAGGAGCCATGTCTCAAGCCTGTAAAACCAACTACTCAGAGGCATTGGGAGGATTAAGGTTTGAGACCAACCCTGGCAAAGTTTGGAATCCTCAACCAGTAGCTGGGTGCAGGAGTGAGTGCCTGTCATCCCAGATAAATAGAGGATCAAGATCCAGGCTGGCCTGGGCATTAAGTGAGACCCTATCTCAAAAATATCCAACATAAACAGGGCTGGAAGAATGTCTCAAGTAATACAGCACCTTCCCACAAGCTCAAGGCCCTGAGTTCAAACCGTACTACCTCCAAGAAAAAAAAAAAAAGAGAAAAATCACTTTAATTTTGTACATTTTATACTATTTCAATGTTTACACAAAGTATGTTCTACATTTATAATGAAAAAATAAATTGGTATAAAAGTAGGATAGTGTGGGTGAGTGGAAGGAAACGGTCGTCAAGCTTAGGCCTGTCTGAGATTGCTGATAATGACAGGACCCCCACACTTCCTCTCCTCTCTCGGGCTTTACTCTCTCACTTGTGGGTGAGGCAAGCGTGGACCAGGCTACGCCAAGGTTACTCCCAGCATAGGGGACTGTGCTTCCCCAGTTTGCTTAACATGAGCTAGCCCATGCTTGAGGCCTACGGTCTTGCCTTCCTGCTAAACATGAACGAGATTCCCTTGTAGGAAGTGGGAAGCACCTAACACCGATGAGGAGCTAGGCCTAATATTCACACAGAAGGCCACTTCCGTAAGAACTACGGCTGGAAAAACTCAGGGTGCCTAGTAAGTTTCCATGGGGAGCAAATGCTAATGTCCCAGCTGAATCCTGACCCCACGGGACTTCTTCCCTCCACTCAGGACGGCTCCTGTAACGCTGTCCCCTTACTCTTACCTCAAGGGGCTGCCATTCGCCCAGGACAAACACATGGAGCATCTTTATATCCGGGTCCTTGTGGAAGATATTGGGTTTGGCATGATGCTGGAAGTGGCGATGGTTCCACCAGTTGGCAGAGGCACCCTGTGTGGGGAGAGGGTTGGGTGAGCCATGCAGCCCACTGGGGACCTGAGCTTGCCTGCAACAGGCCCTGCTCAGGACCAGTTCCCAACACTCAGGGATGACTTCTCCATTATACTTGGGGGAATGGGGAAGCCTGAGCCCCTGAAAGTCAAAATGTGGCCCGGCCACTTCTGAGCCCAGAGTGCTGGTCAATCCCAAACGGAGTCATCAGGTGAGAGGGGTGGGCACCGGACTGCAGGGTGAGTACTTCAGCAGGTGCAGAGTCTTCTGGACCTGCTCATCACCGTGTGTCTCCTGAGTTCCAGGGATGAGCAATGGGAAAGGGACCGTAAGAAGTCTTCCTTACAAAGGAACCCAGGAATTTCTCTCCTGAGTATATAGCCCAGAGAAGTGCAAATGTGTCCATACAAAAACGTGTACACAAATGTGCAAGGCAGCATTCCTGAAAACAACCAGGGAAGAAATAGTTCAAACATCCATTAACAGAAGAATGGGTAATAATTAAAGTATGGTAGACTTACACAGTGGAATAGGTGGCCATGCCCTAAAAAGGAGTGACGCTCTGACCCATGCTACAAACATGAAGGGAGCTGAAAACATGCTAAGTGAAAGAAGTCAGTCGCAAAGGACCCCCAGTACATGACTCCATGGATGTGGAAAGTTAGTGGCTGCCCAGAGCTGGGCAGGGAGACAAGGAGGAAATGGAGGCTTGGAACCTGATGGCTAAGAGGTGTGAGGCCTATTGTGGGGATGAGGAAGATACTCTAAACTTGTGAAGATGGAGTAAACTGTAAATATACTGCCATTTTCATCTATTTGGACACTTTAAATGGGTGAATGGTATACTATGTGCATTACACCTCAATAAAGCTTTCTTTCTTTCTTTGTTTTTAGACAGGATCTTGCTATACAGCCCAGGTTGGCCTTGGACTTGTGATCCTCCTACCTTTGCCTCTGTAATCAGTTGCAAGTGCTGGGGTTACAGGTACATAGAACCTCGCCATAACAAAGCCTTTAATAACAATTTTTTCTTTCTTTTTGTGTGGAGGGCTCAGTCCTGCTGTGCTGGGAGTGAGTGCAAGATTCCCATCCCACCAGAAGCCTCCAGGGTGGGCTGGGGAGTGGTTCAAAGGTAACAGCACTTGCTGAGCAGGCGTGAGGCCTTGAGTTCAAACCCCAGTGCCACCAAAAAAGAAAAGATAAATAGTTGCTAACAGAGCCAGAGAGAGCTGTCAGATCCTGACAGATGAAATTTTGGTTGGAAGAGACAAGGAGGACAAGAAGGGTATTTATTTCAAGGCCTTAGATTGCTGTGTCACCAGGTCGAGCTCCTAACACATTCTGTGAAGGCATGTCCCTCAACAAAATTGCCTGGTGATACTTGGTAGAATCGGTCTTTCTGACTTTCCAGAGCAGGACTAAGCTGGCCAACTGTGGCCCGATCGATACTTTGGCTGAGGGTCCGGCCAAGTATAAAGCGGCCTATTTGCTGAAAACAAACATTTTACTTGGGAAGTGCTTTGGCACAAACCCAGCGTCTGGACACTTACAGCCGTGGGTGGGGACAGCTATGAACAGCTGTGGCCTTTGTGGTGACCTCAGGCCCCTGCAGGCAGGCGGACCTCAAAACACATAACAGCAAAAAGCAAAATGTCAGAGAATAAAAGCTCAGCTGCTTAAGAAATCAGATAACACATTCACACTGGAAGTCAGAGGGAACAAAATCACAGGTAAACAATCGAATGGAAAGTCATGGCAGAAAGACACCCAGGAGTAAGGCATGTGACCAAGTGAGCACAGGATTTACAATATACCAACCTAGAGATGGTTGTTGAATGAATTAGAGGAACCAAAGATGGGCGGTGAGCAAAAGTCAGTGAGGTGGGACATTGAGCTCTTCATGGGCTTGGGATAGAATGAAGGTTTTTTTGGGTTTTTTTGGCAGGGCTGGGGTTTGAGCTCAGGGCCTCACGCTTGCTAGGCAGCCACTCTACTACTTGAGCCACACCTCCAGCCCGTTGGGAACACTTGTAATGAACATTTTTGTTTGTTTGTACTGTGATTTTCTTCCATTCTTCTCCACCAGGCAAAGACCTACTTATCCTTTAAGAATCTCCCTTCCAGCCAGATGCTGGTAGCTCATTCCTGTAATCCTAGCTACTCAGGAGGCAGAGATCAGGAGGATCTCAGTTCAAGGCCAGCCTGGGCAAGTAATTCGAGAGACACTATCTCAAAAATATCCAACACAGAAAAGGGCTGGCAGAGTGGCTCGATTGGGGTGTGAGAATGACCAGCTTCCAGCGTTCTCAGAATGAGGAGCAAGCACTGCCTGCTCTGAACCACCTGCTGTGCTGGGCCCAAAGGGCAGTGATGAACCAAGGGACAAAGCCCACACAGAGATGGAGGCCAAGAAAGAGAAGCAAGAGAAGCTGGAGAAGTCGAGAGAACTGTGTGAAGAATGTTCCAGAAACCAAAGGAAGGCCCCTTGTTTTTGTTTATTGCTTTTTTAAGACATAGTCTTGCTCTGTGGTGCCCCAGGCTGAGCTCCAACTCTCCACTCTCCTGTCACACCTCCCAAGTGCTAGGGATTATAGTCGAAGGCCATCCCATTTGGCAGGAAGGCCCCTTGGTAGAGGCATAACCAGTGGAGCTGGGCAAAGCCATATCAGAGCCTGAGGCAACAAGAAAAGTGTGCACTAGCTCTAATGGAAGCCAATTCACTGAAAATACTTTCAAAATCCACCTGGAGGCTCATCTCGTTTTCAACTGAGTTGCCAAATTTTAGAATTTCTGTCCACCAAGTTACACACTTAAATAATTTTTAGTTCCTTTACCTTACATTGAAGAAAACGTATGACAAGAGGGCTGGAGGTGTAGCCAGGTGGTAAAGCACTTGCCTAACATATGCCAAGGTCCTGAGTTGGATTCCCAGCACCGCAAAAATAATAAAGAGAAATTTTAACAAAATTAAAGCATAAAAATTCTGTGTTGGTGAAAACATTTAAGCTTAAAATAACATTGGAGCTTTGAATACATCGATCTCTCAATTTTTAAACATTCTTGCAACTTCTTCAATATTTTGAGGAAGTAAAAAAAATCTATCATAAAAAAAAATGCCCTTTTAACACATATGAGTAAATGGTTTCCCATGCACCTCAGTCAAGCCCTGATCTTTATTTGAAATTTGGACACTTTTGTTCATTGTGGATTTTTTTGTATTAATTGTGATTTCTTTTAAAAATGCACTAAAATGTTATTTATGTTGATGACTGAGTTCACTGGGTGTCCCCTTACATTTTGCACCTGGGGCAAGTCCTCTCTTGCCTCACTCTAATCCCAGCCCTCGTGGCCTGAAATGAGGCTGTGGGAAGGCAAGTGGATTCCTGAGTCCAGGTGCAGCTTCTAGAAGGCGCCAGACCTCAGGTGTGCACTTATCCTCAGGCAATGATGAGTGGTGAAAGAGGTTTAAGCATGGATGTGACAACCCAGAACTATCTTTGCAAAAGACAATTCCCTGGAAGACAATTCTGTCTCTCTAGAAGAAATGTCTACCGGACATGTTCAGAGGGAAAAAGGAAGGTCAGTACAGGGAGAGCTCACATGCAATTCGACATTGGCATGGTGGACAGTAAGAAGCTCTGCCTGCCCCTCCAGGCCTCTGGCCCCTACTCACTGGCTTCCCCAACTGGTGCTGAAACACCCAAGTTGGCAAGGCCCTCAATGACCTTCCTGCTCCAGCCTCCTTTCTCCCCAGGGAAGGAACCAGAAGAACAGATGGACCTACAAGACTGCCCACTGTAGCAGTGCCCCATCTAGTGCCCGGGGCAGAGGCACACCCCCCAGTGAGCTGCACGGCCATGCCACTGGCCCAGTTCTGGGACACAGCACCAAGGACATAGCCAGAAGAAGGTGGCAAGCCATCCCTGAACCCAAGGACCCTGCTTTCTGTCATCCCAGAGTGCCGACTTCATGAGCAAACGCCCTACATGGAGTCCTCTGTTCTGCCCTTGTCTTCCACGTGAGGCAAAAGCTGTGTTCCAGGGCCCTTCAAGGACTCAAGGCCATGTGGCAGGAATAGCCTTCCAGTCCCTGCTCAGAGTCTGCAAACAGGACACAGCCCATCTTTGTTAAGGGTAGGGGGAGAACATGAGTTGGAAGTGAAATGTTACTTTCCACCACTGAGGAGGGTGTTATCCAACAGAAGACAGTGTAAAATGAAACAAAGCACTCTTCTATGCATAGCCTCTCCCTCTGCCCCGAAAGCTCTGGAAAAAGTCCAGGTTCTCAGACCTTTCAGGCTCAGGGCCAGACAAACTGCTTGCTGGGGAACGGGTGAACTGCTCAGGGTTGGCTCACCCTCAACCCAATCAGCAGCTGGCAAGCACAGTGAGGCCACAGTCTCAGAGAGAGACCCTTTACCCGAACACTGGAGTTCTTCCCCCACCAGGGTGGGGAGGATGGAAGTCTTCAGGACCAGTTTTTCTAAGGAAGGCTTGATGCCATTGGGTAGAGTTAATTGTGGAGACAGTGGGGTTTGTCTCAGAGAGAGAGATGGGAAAAAATTCTCTCCCAAACCAGGGCGATAACGTGAATCAGATTAGCACAAGGTCACTGGCAAGTAGCTCATCTTTACAAACTTGCTGAGTGGAATGCTGCAGTCTGTGGGTCTGTCTCATCTATCGGACAGTCAGAGTAGACCTTTTGTGTTCAAAACAACTTTTGTCTTTTGGCTCAGTTGATCATTCTATAATTTGATATCCTTTATCTAAACTTACATGGGATAAGAGTTTATAGAGTCCCCAATCGATCATGACTGGACTTAATGATTCTTCACCTTTATGATGTTACAAAATCACCTTCAGATTTTGAATTTTTATCTTTTCCTTGTAACAATCCACAGTACAACATTCAGTGCTGGACAGCAGCATCAAGCCACAGAGTCACAAGAAAAAGCCACCAACACCCTGCAGTGCACTGTGCTGCTCAGCTGTGCTGCTTGGTGGGTTAGATGAATTACACACATTTTCAAGTCAGAATATTTTTTACTTAAAGTGGGTTTATCTGGACCTAACCCCATCCCAAATTTAGGGGCACCTATATCTACTTTATATACCACACATATCTCCAAAGAGCATTTGACATGGATTAAAATAAAGGGCTCGTATGTAACTGAAGTTAAAATGAAGATAAACACGTAACCAGCACGTGAGGAAGAATCTGCTGAAAACAGAGACCAAGGATAATCATTGTTCCAGATGTTGCTGTGCACTTCCTGGCACCCAAGGAAGAAACTGAGGAACACAATGTATGAAACAGCTCCCTACACAGAGAAAGGAAGCAAACCAATTCATCAAGAGAGCAGCTTCGTTACTGCCCAGTCCACAGCCAAGAAGCATCGAACAATATCATCAATCGAGCCACTGGACAAAAGAGGGGCGTGTCTGTTTTATAGCAGGTCTGACTTGGTACAGAGACAGGGCTCAGGAAGTGAGTGGCACGGAAGACCAGTCTGGTCTGAGGCACAGCACGTCCCAGTGAGGGCACTGCCCACTGAGAGGTGACCTGGTTAACCTGCAGCCCTGAAGCACTGACCCAAGTAGGGTTCTGCTGTCAGAGCAAAGCGACAACTGATAAGCGATAAGCCGCTCACTCAGGGCTGCTGACACTTACCTTTAAGTGGCCAATGACAAACTTGTGGACAATGTGGTTCCACATGGGCTTCTTGTAGACGGAAAGGTGACCGTAATCGTGTTGCAGCCATCCAGCTTGGGCCTGGGGAGAGAGGACCACAGATGCCATCACCCCATCAGCAAATAGGCACCAGGCCTCTGCAGGGCGGGGAACAGGGTGAGGACTTCGAGGGTGTCATGCCTCACCTGAGAGGTAGCAAGGACAAAGGCTGTGAGGAGGGTTGGAATCCAGCCATTGCCGAAGTAAAAGATGATAAACCACGAGACAATCTCCATGACGACAATGTGGGACAGGAGGAGGAAGAAGAACAGGTGGTTGGCCTTGAACAGGTTCATGTCCTCAGCGACCTTCCTCAGGGTCCGGAAGTCCTCAGTGATCTGAGACTGTTGAGCAAGGGCAGAGAGAAGAGTCAGCCACCAGCCCCTTTAAGGGGACCCATGTCTCCAGCACAGTACACACTGGAGCTGTGGCAAGAGGGGACATGCACCATCCTAAACCCTGCAGGAGCCCGGCCACCAAGTACTACAACAGCTGCTGTTACCATGTGCCTGCCGTGTATGCAGCACAGCCCTGGGGACTCTTTGTCCACAACTGGAGGAATGGCAGAGAAAGAATCCAACTCAAAAGTCTGCATCTTGTACACCACGCGCCAACAGGAGAACAACCCAAATATCCATGGATGGAGGAAGGGCTAAACAAAATGTGGTCTATACATACAGTGGAATATTATTTAGCCTTAAAAAGGAAGGAAAAGCTGGCACATGCTACGACATGGATGAAACTTACATTAAGTGCAATAGGCCGAGTCACAAAAGGACAAATACTATATGGTTCCATTTATATGAGGTCCTTACAGTAGTCAAATGGATAGATATAAACAGTAGAATGGTGGGTGCCAGGGGCTGAGGATGGGAGGAATGAGGAGCTAGTGTACAATGGGTACAGAATTTCAGTTTGGGAAAGTGAGAAAGTTCTAGAACTGGATGGTGAGGCTGGTCACACAACATTGTGAATATGCCAAATCCCACGGGACTGTACACTTAAATATGGTTAAATTTTGTGTTATGCATATTAAAAAAACAAAGCTTGTATTTTTTCACTGCCCGACACTGTGTCACAATCAGGGCAGTGGAATGGGGGTGACACAAACTAGTGCAGGGTAGGGTCCCTGCCTGTAGGAGTTGCGGACACAAGAGAGGCCTGACCGAGCACTTGGCACACAGAGCCAGGGAGGCAGAGGAGAGGCAAAAGTCAAGAACAGACTCTGGAGAACAATGGCATCTCTGAGCAAAAGAAGGAAGCTGAGGGCAGGACAAGGCAGGATGGAGAAGCAAGTGGAGACAGGGAGCCGAAGGTACCAGTGGAGCATGACAAGTGCATGGAAGGGCGGTTTGGGTGGTATTTGGGTACCGGAAGCCAGATGTGGGCACCTGGAGACAGGTGGTACAGAACCTGAGAAGCAGCTGTCATTGTATCTAAGAAGGAGCAAAAGAAAATGCCATGGAGCTGGAGAGGACAGGCCAGGAGCGGGGAGCTTCAGGACCCGTAAATGAGAAACCTTGGGTCTGGGAGGGGTAGACGGCAGAGCTTAGGGGAAGAAGGCAATCTCCTGTGTGCCTATGGACAAAAGCAGGAGGTGAGGGGGAGGTCACTCAGGATGGCCTGCATCTCTTCAGATCAGGGACTGACTAAGAGTCCAGGCTAGGAAACACCCTGTGCCCAGCCTGGCTCGGCTGAGGCCCTAGAGGTAGAAGCTAGTAATGAAGCCATCACTCCAGTCCAGGCAGTCCAGCTTCCCCAAGGAAATCTCTCCTCCCTGGACAGGAATCAGTGTCACTGTTCCCATAAAGCAAGTAGGGATTTGGTGGCCCAATAGCAGAGGGAATAAATCAGTCCAGCTACTCTGTTGACACCAAGGCCGCACACAGCCTCCAGCATGCTGTCTGATGGTAACGGGATTTCCCCAGCTCTGGCTTTAGCCCTGGGATCACCCATGGGCCTCTGCAGACCTGTACCCCCTCCCTGCATGAGCCGGGCTGAGGGGTTCAGGGAGGGGACAGGTCTGAGGCGAGGGGAGGGGCCAGTGCAGGCAAGTGTCACAGAAGCATGTTATTATACACTGCTCCACGGTTTAGGTGGGGTCTGGCACAAGTCCTACTTGACTGTAAACAGCACCGCCAGGGAGATCTCAGGTGTGGTAATATTTACATATTTCTGTCCTTGAAGCCCAGCTCTTGGCAGGGCTTCTGACCCAGAGAAAATGATCAACAAATAACTAACTGATGGTCACTCTTTCTCCAAGTGACCCTGCACCCCAAAGCAGTCACGATTGTCATCATCTGATATCGTCTTATTATCGTTCCTGTACTTTCTCCTAGATTGTCATATCTGACGCCTTTTGGTGGAAAGCAGGGAAGAGGGAAGTGGCTCAAGCCTTGGAGCACCTGCCTAGCAAATGTGGCCCTGAGTTCAAACCCCAATACTACTAAACAAAAATTAAAAAAAAAAAAAAAAAAGGAAGGACGAAGAAGAAAATAAGACCAGCTGGGACAGGGGGGACAAGGGGACACCACTAGTTACCACCCAGCCCGAGCTCCCAGTGGAGGCTCTGAGGTTCTCCCTGATCCCAGGTGCTCAACGCCATCGCCTCCTGGACTGGCCCAAAGGCTCCCCTGCCCCAGCCCCAACGGTCTAGTCCTGGGGTGAGGAGTCTTCCTAGGACTCCCACCCCCACCCCCGGTCCCAGCCTCATCCCCTCCCACACCCAGGCTGCAAGCCCCACTCACACTCTTGCCACGGTCCAGGCTAGGCATCTCCGGGGCCAGCTCACCAACCAGCAGAGGCTTCAGGAACTTGTGCACAAAGTCAAGGTCGGGGTGAAAGGCACGGAAAGCATCCTGACAAACAAAGAGGCAGTGGTGAAGCTGAGCCCCCAGCTGTCTCCTCCCGCTCCACGAAGGGCAGTGTCCCCCAACGCCAGGCTCTAAATGCTGTTGCTGGCTTCAACCCCAGAACAGACTCCTCAGTGCCCAACTCCAACGGCAGGCAGGATGGGGCCTGCTGAGCTCACCAAGGCTTTGTGGGTTGACGTGTCTCTAAGGAAGTGCACAGGGTGGGCAAAAGGCTCTGGACGGACTGAGCCCTGGGCTGCACGGTGCACCAACTACACCACCCGCAAAACAAAACAAAAAGCCCCAAATCACAACAATAAAAGAAATAAAAAACAAAAACCAGCCAGACCAAAGATGACCACAGCCTGGAAAATGTGCTTTGATCACAGTAACCAAGAATAAATACAGAACGATGTAAAAGAATTCCTGAAAAGAGCCTGAAAGGATGTAAACTTACTAAATATTCAGAAGGGTCGTGGGATTGTGTCTTGTTTTATTTTCATTCGTTTCCAAACTTTCTCCAACATTGGTCCCATGTTATGTATGCATTTTAATCTTTCCCGATGATGAAGTCAAAATGCACTTAGTTTGGCAAAGTTAGAAAATGCACAGAAGAATAAAGAGGAAAATAAATATCACCCAGAAAGTCCACCAGTGCCAAGATGTTAGCATTTTTCTTCCAGTTTTTTCTGTAGGTATCAGGCACATTACATAAATTATCTCATAAAAAAGAGTATCTCTCCTCAAGATGCACCAGCACAAGGCGCCCTCAGGGAACTTAACAGGATGTTCCAGCTATACAGCATTTACCCTGTGCCAAACCTTTCTTTTGAATCAAGACTTTGCCTAGATTGAGGAACAAGCCAACCAAAACCACGAGAGGTAAAAAATAATCAGAAAAATCAACTTTGCAGGGCAGGTTTGTGGGAGAAGGGGCTAGATTTAAAAAAAAAAAAAAAACCTAAAAAGATACACAAACTGCAATGCTTTAACTAGAACGGGTCCTGTTTGGAAGCCCTCTGGTGGGGCTTGAATAAAAAAATGTAAGTAGGGATTGGATAGCTGACCTTTACAAGGAACTATTACTAATTTTCTGGAATGTGACAAAATTATTATGATTATGATAGAACATCTGCTCCTTATTCTCAGGAGACAATGTTCAGAATTTAGGGACACAGTGGCACAATAATATACTTTGTTTTCTTTTTTTTTTTTTTCCCCTGGAAGTACTGAGGTTTGAACTCAGGGCCTTGCACTTGCCAGGCAGGCACTCTACCACATGAGTCACACCCCTGTAATTTACTCTCAAAAGAAAGTTGCCTATTTATAAAAAGCAAATGTGGCCAAATATTATAATTAGTGAATCTTGGTCAAGAGGAGACAGGTGTTCCCTTGTTCTTTCAGCATGCCTGTACTTTTCAGAAAATTTGAAAGTTAAAAAAAAAAAAAGGAAGCAAGGCATGGTGGTGCTGGCCTGGAATCCTAGCATGCAGGAGGACTGAGAGATCAAGGCCAGTTTGAGCTACACAGTGAGTTCAAAGCCAGCCAAGGCTACTGAGGACTCATAAAAATCTTTTCAGTCCCTCTCCCAACAGTAATTGCCAATCTCCTCCTTCCTCTCTGCATCCCTGCCATCCAATCTTTGCCTGGTCTTTGTTCCATTTGCATCTAGAATAGACTTACAGAGAGGCATTTTATTCAGAAGAAAACTGGGCAGGGGTGTTTTTTTTTAAATTTCTGTCCCCTTCCCCCTTGCTCCTCCACCCCATCCCAGCCGAGTGGAAAGGGCAAGATCAGATCAAAGGATCAGAGCAAGTATATTTTCAGAGACAAGAGACCTGCTATTCCAGGGGCCCTGGGCAGACAGTGAGAAGGCCCAGGTCCCAGTGCTGACCAGCTCCACCTGCCCCAGGCTCAGGCATCTCTGCAAAGTGAGCGAGGCCCTGGGGAAGGCACAGCAGGAGCTGCCAAAGTCAGGGCCCAGGCCTGGGCCTGAGAATGTCCTTTCGTGGATTCCTCCCACCCCCATCAGACCATGGCCTTTGAGAACCCAACAGGAAGTTCTTGGTAAGGCAATTTCCTGAGGAACAACTGTAGTGTTTGATAACTGATTCTTCTCCAAGGTTCGTTGAAAGGCAAGTTTAATAGTTCCAAAATGCTTCCACTTCAGTTCTTCCTGCCTACCCACCAGGTCACAACTCCACTGAGAACCTATTAGAGCAAATGAGAGCCCTGCCTTGACCTTGGCTGCTCCTCAGCAATTTCCAGAGGGCCTTACCTGCCTGAGGCCAGGGGAAAGGAACAGCCAAGTTCCAAGCAGGGAGAAAGAGGCCTGTTTATGTTACCTCCCTTCAGCCTCAAAGCCCCCCAGGAAGTGAGGTCCTACACTCCAGGCAACAGAGCCAGGCTCAAATCCAGGTCTATCTGCCTCCAGTGACAACTCTTTGCCACACACCTCCAGTCATTTCAGAAAAAAACAACAGGTGCAGGTGCTTCATGGGATCAACCTGTCTTCATGGTCCATCTGGTAGCTTCTGAAGCACAACCTTGAACATATCATGTTCCTTCCATATTAGGCTGGCTTTATGGTGGGGGGGGGAGAGGGGGGGGAACTCAGCCTCAAAGTCACCTCAGCTCTGCACCCTCTAATCCAGAAAGAAGACTTTCCCACCCTGCAGTCATAGTCAGACTCTGTCCTTATCTACCGTGTTACACCAGAGTTCTTCACCTTCTCTGGCATCCACATTTTGGGGGCTGGCCTAGCTGCCATGGGCCAGCACTGCATAGACCAGTCACTGATTATGTGAGTGTCCTGCAGCACTCACACTATTCTACCTAACTCTGTGAGGCAGCTCCTGTTTTACAGAAGAGAAAGAGGCCTAGGTTGGTGAAGCTACTTGTCCACAATCTCACTCCAGAGCTGGGCAGAGACTGAGCCAGCTGTGCTGCTTCTAGATTTTTCCACTGTAATTACAAATGTCTCAATCAGAACCAGCTTTCTGCCCCTGAGAACTGGTCATTATTAGTGTCCCTGCTTCATGGTGTCATACATAGGCCTCATGTACTTGCAGAAGTTTCCTAACAATTGTTTGAATACAGGAATGTTGTTGCAAGGTAGGTCATGATTAAGGCAAGACAAGGCCAATTCAAACGATGATTTTGGAACAGGAATTGGAACCAAGCTCTTTCCTTGTCTGACAGAGAAGGAAGCCAAATTCTTCCCAGGAAGCAGGCTGGGGTCATGGGGAAAGAGCAAGGAGTAGCAAACGGGTTGGGGAGCAAATCCGAATGGTCAGTGTGTGCGCTGGGGTCGGGAAGGTCAGGCTGCAGGAGGCAGGATCAGAACACCAGATTCTGAAGTGTCACACTTGCTGGTCTTCACCAATTCCTACTTCTGCCATCACCCTGCACTGAGCACCTGACACAAGCACCTGTTTCTGGCTGTGCCCAGGTCCTGGTGCAGAACAAGGCTAGACTCTAGTTCAGCTTCGCACATCCAGACCCCAACCCAGGACTTGGGAAGCACGAAATGAGCACATGGTGTTGCAGGTGGCAATCCTGAGGACTGAGACAAATGGGGAAAAGGGAAAAGAAGCAGAGAAGGGACCCTGGAGTTCTCAGGTAGAGATAAAAAGGGCGGGATGGGGCATTGACTTCTTTCATGCAGCTGAGAGATACAGACAGGGCAGGAATTCTCTGTTCCACATTCCTTCCTAGAGGATCAGATTTATGGAGGTAGGCGTTACTCTGTGGCCCAGGAGCCCATTACTGAGAAAGTCCCTGCTAACACAGCCACATGTATTCCCCTGGGGAGTAGAGCCCTAGAGCTGGCCTGCACGGGAAACAGGCTCCAGGAAATGCAACCTGGGCACAAAGGAATTAATGCCATTCACATTTTTGTCTCAGAAGCTCTACCAGGGGGTCTAGGGATCCTCCGCTGAGCCACAGCAAGCAGGAATCAGGGGACTCCCACTCAGGTCTCAGCAGACGAAATGAGTCTACCCTCCACGCCTAGAAACTCACAGAGCTGGGACTCTAACCCACATTCTCTCCCCTAAATATTATGACCCTCCTGCCCTGTACACAGGACAGAGTTCCATTTGTATCTGCTAAGTTTTCACAAGAACAGTGCAGGAGCAGGAGGAAAGGCAGAGCCTATACCTCTGGCCCCCTTTTTGCTTTCCCTTGATTCTGAGAGGTGAGCAATGCAGTCAGGGCAGTAGAAGTTCCTGAGACAAGGAAAGGGGGCGGGGGGAGAGGACTTGTGTCTAGAAGCTGAGGGTCCAGATTCAAGCCTCAGCTTGAGAGACAGAGGAAAGAAGCAAATCCAGGAGATTCAGGCCACGGTGAATTATTCATCTTTATGCAGAGGCCAGCTAAGAGCCATGGAGACGCTCAATGAATGTTTGATGAATTGCTGCAGAAGATGAAAGTCTCAGAACATTCTGCACTGATGGGACAGCCAGGAAGAGAGCAGACACATACTTACGGCATGCGTGAGGTTCTTTGTGTCCACAACAAGGCAATGATCAGAGAAGCTCTGAAGGGCCAGAGGAAAGAGAAAAGAAAGGTAGAAATAGGAAGGGAGGGAGAGAGGTGAGCTCGGAGAACTTGGTGCCAGCAGATCCTGAATTTAGATCTGAGCACTGCCACTTGAGCAAGGTTTCTGAACCTTAGAACAGTGACAGATACCAACAGTGCTGTTCTGAGGATTAAGTGAGATCGCATGTATCAATGCACTTGTGAACTGCAAAAATTGAGTAACCTTGTTTATTTTAATTTTTATGTATTTAGGTATTTATTTATTTATTGCAGTACTGGAGTTTGAACTCAGGGCCTACTCCTTAAGTCACTCCATCAGCCCTTTTTTGTGAAGGGCTTTTTCGAGATCAGGTCTCTCGAACTATTTACCTGGGGCCAGTTTCAAACTGCGATCCTCCTGAGTAGCTAGGACTACAGGCATGAGTCATGGCCACCTGGCTTATTTACTCAGTTTTTAAGTAGAGTCTGCCCAGGCTGGCCTCAAAGTCTGGGCTCAAGTGATTCTCCTATCTCAGCCTCCTGAGCAGCAGGGACTACAGGTACATGGCACAGTGCTCTGCTAAGTGACTTTTATTATTACAATGAAGGCTAAAGTCTAATTTCTGCAGTAGAACCAAATGACAACTGCCTGTCCTTCTGGGGGAGCAGGTGAGTCCTAACTTCTGAGGTCTTCTCTTTTCTCTCTCTCTCTCAGCAGTACCAGGTTCTGAACTCAGAGCTTCACACTTGCTAGGCAAGTGCTCTAACACTTGAGCCACGTTCCCAGTCCTCCTCTTTAGAAACAGAAAACCCACTGGAGAAGTGGCTCAAGCAGTAGAGCACCTGCTTTGCAAGTGTGAAACCCTGAGTTCAAACTCTAGTCCTGCCCCAAAAAAGAAAAAATTAATAAATAGTCAGAAACAGAAAACTCACCTACTGCTGCCCTGAATTACACCCAAAATGGCTTCCTTGACTTCTGCCTTTTCGTTCCAGCCCCTTCTTAGGATATCACTGTACTACGACTGTCTCAGAGCGAAATATTAAAGCACTCCTGGAGATCCAACTCTACAGGCTGACAAGTCCCTCCCCAAACTTTGCTTGGCTCATAAAGCCTTTGTGCAAGGAGCAAAGCCATGTTCAACAGACTGAACAAGCCCCCTTGATTCCTGACTCTTCCTTGAGGTTCCCCTTCTGTATCCCCATGCTGCCTTTTCCCAACCTGCTCCTAAACAGCTAAAAAAAATAAAAATTGCCAAAGAGAACTCGGTTGCTCACTCCACCATTATTTGACCACATCCCCAGTGAGTGTATTTCATGCCCCCAATGTCTAGTTTGGGAAAGAACAAGCTTTTATGACTTGCTACAGCAAATTAGCGAGCTTAGATTTACATTTTTTCCCCAAATTTCTCTTTATACTCTAGCTATTTCACAGTTCTCGCTCTTATTGTTGTTTGTCTGATAACACTCCGTTGCATTTATCAGGGGCTTATAGTGTATGGCATGCTTTGCCATAAACTTGGGAGTGGTGGCGGGTGAATCTTACAGACCAAGAGAGGGGCTCCATCATGTAATACCATACCTCAGACAAGCCCAGTAATCGTATCTTCTTTCTTCAATTTCAGGCTGTTTACAGTCCACACTGGCTCCCACCTTAGCTTTCCTATAAATGGGGAAACTAACATCCAAGATGCCAGATGTACAGTCAATGAAAGTTACACAGAAAGCACTAATGCAAGATCAGTGCAAGATCAGAAATGAAGCCGGTACTCAGTTCTTAGCTCAAACTAATTAAACAGAGAGGGGGGCCTGAAAGAGTAGCCATACCAGTAGCCTAACAGGTTAAATCTCAGCACGGATATTCGGAGAAAACTCATTGTGAATGTCAGGTAAACATGGGAAGATTCAGAACAAGGATGAAAGAGGTCTAGATGTCTTCATTAAACTATGAAGTTCGAGGAATGTCAGACCATGCTTCCACATAAGAATACGTTTATTTGACAAAATGGAATAATCAGACCAAATCCATCATATTTGTCTCTTCCTCCTAGGACACTTTTTGGTGACAGCCTGTCTAGGGCAGGAACTTTCTACAATTTATCTGTGAGAGTTATGCACAGGCTAGCACAGGTCCAGCAACACAGAATAGTGGAAAGACCCCAACCAGGAGACCAAAGGCCTGGGAATTACCTTTACCCACTCCTCACCAGGTTGTAGAAAGGTCCAAGTGAACTAGTACACGCAAAGTGGACTAGTGAAAAGCTTATACCCACCTAAATTGAAATTAGCATGAAACCCTCTGGTGTCCACAACCAGGTAAAACAGGCTGGGGCCAAGCTGTAGGCGAGAAGGATATCACAGTCTCTCTTCTCAGTCTTGAACAAGCTTGTGCCCTGCTCACTAAAGCCACCAGTCCTGGATTGTGCCTGGTTTGCTCTCAACGGGATGAAAAGGAGTGGGGAAGTCAAGAATTGAGGCTATCTAATTTAGACAGCAAAAGCCCACACACAAGTACACGTCCCGGACCTCCAGGTGCAATGATCTCTGTGAAGTTTATCCTTCCTTTCCGCCTCTTTCCACTCACCTTCCTCAAGTTCTCTAGCCCAGGAGACCATTTTCTCTACTTTCAGTTCACCACCCCCAAGAAAGGCTCTTTCCTCCCTCCTTTTCTCTATTCTTCCTCTCAGGTCTCTCACTGGGCGAACAGCTGAACCTCAATGCAAGGATTCAGCTGAGGGTGGGGGGGAGAAGGGGCGTACCCCCCAGCTGAATGGGATGGTGTGCCATTGCTCAGCACACATTTGGTGTGGGTAGGAGGGGCGGCCCTGGTTTCGGAGACCTCCCGGAGTGCAAGATGAGGGAAGGGCGGTCCTGGCAGAATTTAAAAACAGAGGGCCATTGAGTTGAATGTCCGAGAATAACCTCGTTTGCAGCTAGACCTGTTGCCAAGCCAGTCTAGTGCTGCTACATTCACACTCCAAGCCCCCTCTAGACCTGGGCTTTGCAAGCTTCCAGCCGGGTCTCCTTCCACCAGTTCACCACTTCACTTGGTGGTGGGTCCTGTTAATCCCTGAGAGCGTGGGAACCTGAACTACAAAGCGGACTCTCTGGGCAGCCACTGAAGAATCCAAGCAGGAGCGGCCCCCGGCCAAGGACAAGCTTTCCTTCTCTGCCTCCTAGTCTGGCTGGAGAGTCCAGGGCGCACGCCAGGTCTCACTCAGGGTTGCCCGCTTTCCGGCTCCTTTACGCGGCACCCAAGGGTGGCCATCTTCCACAGTGGAAGCGCCAAAGACCTAATCCCCGAGCGCCCCCTTTGGAGAGTCCCTGGCTCCAGTTGAACCCGAGCGCACTGCGCGCAGTGGATGTGCACCGTTTGTCACCGCTGGGACCTTTGCAGCGGCGCAAACCCCTGGGGTTCAAAATCCGACCCCCACCCCAAGTCGGCCCACTTGGCTCAAAGGATGATGATTCCGAGCACCGGATGAGAGTAGTAGGTACACTTTCCTCCTGGACGTCATGAGCACCATTCCGAGCCAGAGGTCTGTTTGGCGCCCAGGGACCCCAGGATCCTGGCGCTGCCTGCAACAGAGAATGGTGGCTGGAGCCCCAAGACCCTTACCGTAGCATCTTCTCCCGCGTAATGCGCGATGACCCGGTGGCCCCCTGGGTGCCGCTTGGACCATGTGGTGACGTTGTAAACCTTGCGGTCGACGACGAGCCACTGGTCGGTGCGCAGGTTGTGCTTTTGAATCTCCTCCCAGCTGAAGGTGGGTATCGCCACCTCGCGCTCGGTGGTCCCCTCGCCTTGGTTCCCTCCCTTCCCCATCCTGCCTGCCCACCGGGATGCCCTGTGCGCTGCGGCCTCCCGGCGCCGACGGCTCACTGCACCGACGGCTCCCTCCTGGCCGGTGAGTGCGGCCCGCGCCCTCCTCGCTTTCGGCTTTTGTCTTCTACTCCTCCTCCCACCGCGCCTCCTCCCCTCGCCTTCGCTCCTCCTCGCCTTCGCTAGCTCGCGAGTATCCCAGCCTTCCCTCCAGAGTACCCCTAGCTTCCCAGTGCCCCCCAGCGGTCTCCTTCTTCCGCCCCACCCTCGGCCCGCCTGCTGTGGACTTTTGCCTCCAGTAAAAACTCTAGGGTAGCTCAGGGCCTCGACACCTCCTCCGCCCGCCCCTCCAGCTCCCCCCGCCCGGGGCTCCGCATCCTCCCGCGTTCCCCGCCACCCGGGTTTCCACAGTGATCAGCAGAGCGCCTGCACCAATCAGGGCGCGTCGCCCCGCCTGCCATTGGCCCAGGAGGATCTTTCGAAGGCCAGCGGGCTGGAGCGGCGGGTCCCCAGCTCCCCACCCCCACACCCCCGCCCGCCCGCGTGGAGTCAAGCCCTGCGGTGAGGCCGGCTACGTGTCCGACTTCCTCCCTCCCCTTGGCTGTAGCCGGGAGAGCCGTAGTGGATCCCAAAGGAATGGGGTGAACGGGGGGCGGCGACTGGGCTTTGCTCAAAACCCAGCGCGTGCGCGCACGCTGCGCGCTCCGGGGATTTGCACCTGATGCGGGCACAAAGAAGGCTCAGCCGCCGCCCGGGCCTACCAGCTAGTGGGCAGCACTGGGCCACTCCAAGATTGGCTTGGCTAGGGGACGCCCTTCGGCGCGCTGGATCGAGACTCCAGCAGGCTCACATCTCTGCCTGCATGATTCACTCCTTCAGCCTCCCTAGAAAAAGGAGCCGGTCTTGGGCTCGACAAGAGCTTTGAATCCTCTAATCAGACAATCTTGGAAAAGAATTGCGGAACCTCAGCTCTCTTCCTTGTGCTAAGCGCCGTAGGGGAAGGAAAGGGAGGAGGGTCAGGATGAACAGGTCCCTGGATTCTGGCCCTGAACTGAGGAAGTTTACAGCCTTCTAGGGAAACATGAAAGTAATACAGGACTACATATGATTGGTCTGGAGGCAGCATGCAGACTGCAGGAAATAGAGAACTGGGTAGCAAAGGGATAGGGAGAGGTGCGGGTTTTCTAGGCATGGGGCACAGCAGGTTTCCAGACTCCAACTGGATAGCGCTGTTTAGGGTGGCCCCTGAGAGAAGGAGCTAGCCCAAGCCTTGGGAAAATGGGGCTGACAGATGGGAAGACAGGCTGGGGACAAGCAAGAAGTGAGAATAAAGTGAGGAGTGTGGGTGTAGATTTATGAATCAGAGTTAAAGGGTCTTCATTTATGAATGGGATTTATAGGTGCCTGAGTGCTAGCACACCCTACTCATTAAAGCCGCACCACAAAAATGGAGAGCCTGACGTTACAGAAGATGAAGACGTGACATACACATGGTTAGAAAGTGGCCCAGCTCAACTCCTTACAGACTTTGCACTGCCTAGCTCCTGACATCAGTAAAAAAGGAATCATCTGATGTAGGAGGTCATGGTGGTGGGGGGAGGGGGGGTTGCTAGATGGAGTCCCTTTCATGCTGCTCCCTCAGTCCTTGACCTATAGGACCTCCTCCACAATACTGCCATCTCATGTTGATATCAGTCCTAACTGACCTTTCTTCACTCCACAAACTCCACATGTGAAAAGGGCAAGGCCTCTCTGGGTTTGAGGAAGGGAACCAAACATTCAAACAAAAAAGGCCTCCCCACAGAATAGGACAGAATGAAGCAAGGTATGGTGTCACCTGCCCACAATCCCAGGAAACAGAGGCAGGAAGATCCTGAGTTCCAGGCTAGCCAGGGCTATGATACCACAGAGAGAGAGAGAGAGAGAGAGAGAGAAAGAGAGAAAATACTAAGTGAGTCCCCTGGTAGGATATACCAATTTTTATGCTTTTTAAAGATGTACTGAAATGGAACCAAGAATAGTATTTTTTTTTTCAAAACAGTACATAGATAATTTGAGTGAAAATTTTTAAAGGAGGAATTTTAGAGGAGAAATAACTGATTGGAAGACACAGGGAATGTCTCACGGGGGAGACTTTGAAGGCTGAGGAAAGAGTGAGAATGCCCAGAGAATGGACCAGGGCTTGGGATTCCCAGCAGGTACCAGGCACTAGCCAGAAAAGGACCTGAAAAAACAAAACAAACAAAAAAGACAGGAACAAATGAACACATAGCGAGGACTGGCTCAGGCAAAGCCACAGTGCACAGGGTTCAAGTTGGGAAAAGCCTATGGAAGGCACATGATGGTGGGGGATGGCAAAACCTTGGAAATTCATCAAGCCGGAGCATGCTCTGATCAGATCCATGGTGTGGAAAGAGAATTCCAGAAGCAGCTTGGCACTAGGATGGGATGCAGGAAAGACTAGGGCAGCTGCAAGATCAGCTCCACGCTCTGGCAGAGAGGAGAGGAGGCCTGGATGACGATGACTTCAGTTGGCTGACTCTACCCCAACTGCTGTCTTGTTCCCTCTGTCTTCTTCCTGTTCCTCTACTACTGCTTTTTTTTTTTTCTTTTCTTTGCTGGGGTGGGCCAATGAGACTGTTTGCTCAGAGAAAACCTTACAGTATCCAGCTGACTCCAGAGTCACTTAGGAATAGGAGTGTTCTCAGAGAAGGATGAGGTTCCTATGGCTTCCTCCTGCTCCTCAGAACCTGCACCCTGCTCCCCCAGGAGCACCAAGCAGCTTCCTGGGGATCTTGCCAGGGTCTTGTTTTGATCACTGATCTTTATCAGGAACACGAGACCAGCTTTGGTGGCATGGACCCAGACTCCTCAGTCACCAGGTGAATGAAAGACTTGACTGAGTGGTGAGGTGCACCAGGCGACAGAGTCTGTAGGGATAGAGCCCACAACCATAGTCCTCACTGAATTGGTGAGGAAGGCTTTTATCACGCTTCACAAGGAGCCTTTGGTGGCTGCTGGGAGACTGGTAGGCCGCTGAAGGAAGAGATTGGTTAATCAGAGGGAGAATGAAAGTGAATCATGCTCTTCAGCCACCCTGCACCTGGTGGGGTGATGACAGAGACACAGCACAAGGCAAAGCCTCTTTCATCTCTTCCTTTCCTTGTTAACAACTATGGCCATATTGCCCCGAACTGTTAAAAAAAAACAAAACAAAAAAAACCTTCCAAATTGCATGTTTCTCAATCCCTGACCCCTGTCTCTCACAGTCCAATCATTGCTGAATTTCATGAGTGAAAAGTGAGCCTTCTTTCTATGTACTTTGCCTCCCATTCATTTCTTAGATCATCACAGTCTCCAATTCTAACAGGGTGTCAGTCAGCTTTCCATTACTGTAACAAACTAGTAAAGAGAAAAGGTTTAGCTTGGCTCCCATTTTTAGAGGTTTTCAGTCCATGATCAGTAGGCCTCGTTGCTTTGGGCCTATGGTGGCACATCACAGCAGGAGCATGTGCTCCTGCTCACCTCATGGCTGAGAAATAAAAGAGATGAAGAAAAAGGGGCTGGGGTTTCATTTTCCCATTCAAGGGCACACTCCTAATGACCTGAAGACCTCCCACTAGGCCTGACCTCCTAAAGGTTCTACCACCTCCCAATAGAGCCAGATTAGGACCACACCTTTTAACACATGGACCTTTGGGGTACACTTAAGATCCAAACTACACTAAAAAGTAATGCTAAAAAGCCCTCCCACTGGTCTATCAGTTTAGGTGTGCAAAGGACTTTCAAGGAATGGGCAAAAGCCATTTTCACCTTGTCCAATACAGAGTAAGCGCTGAGTAGATGGTGGATTTCACCCTTCTGCCTCATGACCTCATTCCTCGCTGCAAGGCATAGGCAGCCCTATTACTTCATGTTTGCAGATGAAGACAGAACAAATCTGGCTCTTCTACCTGCCCTCTACAGAGCCCTGGAACTCAAAATCAAGACCCTAAATTCAGCTCTCTTGTCTTGCTTCCTTCAAGCCTCCTGGAACCCTCTGTGAAGGTTGCCAGCATGCCCAGTCATCCCTTCTCAGACCTTGCAAGGCCTCTGGGAGGCCAGCATCCTGAAATACCCAGCTTCCTTGCTTCTCTGACAAGACCTAATCCCAACTCTACTGCTTGACCACACTTTAAAAAAAAAAAATCTTCTCTATTTGTTTCTATTTTTCCTCCTCCCCTCTAAATGTTTTTGGTCCTTGGCTCCCTCAATATTTCCTTCTTCAGGGGCCACACTCAGCTTCCCAAATCTACATTCAGAGTGCCATCTCTTTCCAGGACCCAACCCCATTTGCATTTACCTCCTGCACATGCTAAGCTGTGGACACCGCTAGCAACTCACACTCAACATTCCCAAGTCCAAGGAAAGCCTCTACCAGGTGGGTCCTTTAGGCCTGTCCAGGTCTAACCTGCACTGTTTTAGAAGCAAAGCTAAATTTGTCACCTTAACTTCATCATTTCCATTAATGGCACCACTGTTCCTCTACCATGCAGTCTCAGAATTCCAGAGTGTCTTTTGCTGCTTCCCTTCATCTACCTCTCTCTCTTATAAAAAGGCTTGTGGTTTTCAGCAGGTCGTGCCTCCAGAGGTGTTAATTCTGCCCCTCTTATTGTGTTGCCTGTATTTCTGTCCTAGCTGAGCCTGCCATACACACACACACACACCAACAACCAACCACTGCATACACTGAGCCAAGCTCACTGTGACCACCCCTGTCCCCAAACCTTCCTTGGTCCCTCATTGCCTAGCAAGTAGGGAAGATGTGAGGAAGGAAAGCACATAGATAATAAGAGTGTTTTCTGAAGGCTGGCAATGTAGCTTGGTGCTAGAGCACTTGCCTAACATGCATGAGGTCCTAGGTTCAATCCTCAGCACCGAAAAAGAAAAGTGCTTCCTGAAGACATTGGCCTTGCCTGCACCTCCTACCCAAAAGGCTAAAAAAATAGACATCATCAGATAGGATGCTGGGGAAATGATCTTACTTTTATGCAAATCGTGGTGTGAATACCCCATGTAGTTCTGATTGTGAAGCCAAAAATGACTAAGAAGAAGGTGTCTTCTTATGGCAAAAGGATGCTCTCACAAGTCTGAAGATTAAAAGAAAAACAAGAAATAACAAAAGCCGGGTGCAAGTAGCTCACACCTATAATTCAAGTAGCTATAATTCTAG